GAAATCTGCAAAATAAGACAAATAAAACAAAACTTCCTGTGGACTTTGTTGCTGTGTCTCATCACTGATTGGTGGAAGGCCCAGGGCTTGGCTAGAGTCTCCTCTCACGGGTGAGATTTTTAAAACCCTGAAACAGAGCCAGGTGGTGGTGTAGAACTCTAGTTTCCTTGCAGACCACTTCAAGTACAACAGGCTGAACATTTTGTAGAATTTTTTGCCCTATGATCTCCAAAAAATACTGCCTACCCCAGCTGTAAAGGTCAGAGCTGGGTTGAAAAGACTATGAGCAGTCAGTCGAGAGCTAAAACCAGGCGTCATGTTGCTTTCATGCTGTCATGACCATAGCTACAGTGACCTGTGTTTTAATACAGGGCAAATACAAAATTAGAAGAGAATAAAAAACTCTGTGACTACTCTAATGGGCTGCAGAAAATCAGAGGTATCTGTTGCCAATGGAGCTAAGGGTTAAAGCTACCACTGTTGGTTTAAAGTAATCTCTACATTTGATCACATGCTGACATTTTATTGATTAAGCTATTTTTAGTATAATTGGCAACATGATGAATATATTTTCTCATTTGCACACTAAACCACTGATGTGCAAAGTGCTTGATTAAAACTCTTTTGCAACAGTTACATATGCGTTCAGCAGATGTGATCATTAGCATAAGAAATACCCCCAAATTTCTATGCAAGGCTGCCTGTTCTTTTCCATTTAAAGGCGAATGCTATTCACAAAAATGTGTCCAAAGACTTAAAAAGAAGAATTTCACAGTTCTGAGTTTCAAGTCCTACTAGGGGCGTAAATTGGATGATAAAACTGTAACAGAATTAGCAAGTAATTAGCTGCTTTCAAGGAGAAAAGATTAAAACAGCTGCCAGTGACACGTCATTGTAACACCAACACAACAGACTAGGATTTTTTTTTGGTTGTTTAAACAGCAGATACCTCAGTGTGTCAGTACAGGTGTAATGGAAATTTACATACTGGTTTACTGTCCTGACTTACTGGGAAACTTGATGGAGTCATTGTGAATAAATGTCTAAACATCAGGCATGACAAAACTCTCCAGTAAGCCTGATGCTACACTATCATGTGAAGACGTCCCCCTGGAAGCTGACCTCATTTGTAAAATTCTGGCAACGGCCTCCCTGCTGACACTTTCAGAAGTCACATAGAAACTGGAAAGATAATTGAAAAAAAAAAAAAAAAACGACAGGAAAATGAAAAATCGTTCGTCATGTAGGACATTACGATAATATAACATTTCTCAGTTCGATTACAGAATTATCTCACAGTTTATGTTGAATTTTCTAATCTTTAGGGACTTTGCAATCTAACGACAAATACACTTCCTGCTTCACTTGTGAATATCTAGATAGAAGCCTGCAGCTTCCTCCCGCGAACTTGAAATCGGGACTTACACTGGGAGTCGGTGGGGCCCACGCTGGGCAGGGGCACCCTGTGCTGGGGGCCGGGGGGCTGCGTGGGAGTGTGATGGGGGCCGCAGTGACATGTGGTGGAGGGGTCAGAGCAAAAGACCACAAAGGAAGATGTGAAGAAGAAGAGCAGGTAGGCAGCCACCAGTGCCCACAGGATGTACTGGCAGCATTCCTCACCACTGGGCCAAACGCTTGGAGAGTACCAGCAGGAGGAGAAGGAGGACGAAGAGGAGGACGAGGAGGACGAGGAGTGCGAGGGGGAAGGTGTGGGGGGGAGGGAGGAAGGCCGGTGAGAGGTGGATTGCTGTAAGTGCATAAGGTGGTATATCTGGGGACTGGGGCAGCGAGAGCGCGCTGAGATGAAGGATTAGAGGAGTGAATGGATTGGATGGAGATGTTGCAGGAATGGAAAGAAAAAAATGAGATGGAGAAATGGAAAACATGAAATGAAGAATACATGAAAAAAGCATGCAGGAAATGACAATTTGTTCAAAGCGCTTGCTTCCTCCGCCAGCTCAGAACAAATCAGTTGGACAGAGCATGCAGAGCAATGTTCAGGGAAGGACAGATGAATTACAGCGTTAATGGGAGGCGACTCCTCTCTGCAGGTGACGATAAAGGAGCACGAGCCTCATAGAGAAGCATTAAAGGAGCAGCAGAACAGATAAAGAAGTGGATGAAAAGATCAGTTTGCGCTTTATGCCTCCCTGTGCGAAATTCGTGAGCACCGTGAGTTCGTCCCCCACTGTCCACGCTGACTTCTACTGTAACTTCCTGAGCTGCCTGAGAGAAAAGCATTGCTGCAAAGGACCTGAACTGTTGTAACAATGACATGGATTACTTCAACTGCGCTGCACCGTCGTTCACAGTGCGCTGATTAATCAGGTACTTTGGCCACAACAGCTCAATCATCACTCTGCACTCGCCAGACTTGGCCCCCTGCGACTTCTTCCTCGTCTCTAAAATTAAATCGGAGTTAAAGGGGTTGTCATTTTGGCACGGTGGAAGAGATTCAGTTCGCAGATGTCGCTTAACGTGGAGCACAGGGAGCGATATATCACTGCACAAGGTGACTACTTCAAAGCGGATGGTAGCCAAATTTAAATCCAGTGTGGTTTTTAATTTTTATTACCACCGTCAAGGAACTTTTTGATCACACTTTCAAAAAAAAAAATGAGCTCACTTTTCTTGGTTTAGCCAATAAACTTCCAAATAGTTTGGTTAAACAAACAGTAAACTGCCTCCATGACACCAAACACAGCAGCAGAATGACAAAGTTATTGACTTTAGCGAAGACAGCTAAATATATTGAGTCTAAATTTGGAGAGTGGGACTACTGTTACAACACGGCACCTATGTCAGTCCTACAAGGTCATAATGAGACACATGTTGTGTTTTCAGCTTGTTGTTTAGTTCACCTGCCCCCATGTAGCCAGAAAAAATAAAATACAAAGAACATGTTTTTTTCCATTGTACACCACTGTAATATCTTAATTACCTCCACTTTTCCACAAAGTTTCTAAAAAAAGTAAAATGCTGCCCACATTACAAGATTCATTTAGCACAGAGGAAGAAGATTGGGCACTCTCAAGATGCAGCCACCAACCAATTCTGCGGAATATGCTTATTGAAGCATTGAGCAATGGTGAATAACAATGGAGGCCATTATAACAGGAAGTACCACGTCCTTTAAAGGGTCTGTCTACGTACCAAAGTATGGAAGTACATATGCTGGAGGAGTTTCCAGAATAAGTAGATGCGAAAATACTTCTACGAATTATTAAAAATTGTTTTATTTCTCTGACAGATTATCTGTGCTATCAAGAAGCCCTGTCACACACAATCACAAATCAATTCCACTCTAGACAACCAGTCTCAAAGATTCACCTCACAGAGAGAGGTCCTTCCTCTTTTCTCTTTTCGTTTGACATCTTGTCATTCTGCAGTTATTGAACTGGGGTGCACTACATCACACTCAACGGAATTCTTTCACTTTGTGCACATGTCCTCAAGTCTATTTTGAGGGCGAGCTTTGATGTGTTACAAGCAAAACGTAACTCAAATGGGACACGTGGAACCTGAGCGTTATGCAAGCACAGCAAAACATAGTCCTAGATATCTGCAAGCTTGAACTGTGATAAAATGTTAGATATCACCCTGGTATTGCAATAATCATTATATTTAATGCTCATAAAGAACTGCAGAAATAATGTATTAAAAATAAAAAAGTTTACTTTGAATTTAACCACACTGGCCGATTTATCAAAATATATTAGTAATGATTTTAATGTTAACACAACAATGGAAACCACATTAAAAAATAAATTCAAACACATAAACAGAAATAAGGACAATGGAATGATCACACAAGTTAAGAAAGCAAGTCAAATCTGGAGGCACTCAGGGCCAAACGTCACGCTGAGGTTAAGGTTCTGAGTTGTGTGTCCCCACAAGGTGTTACCGGACGAGGACCCCACACTGGGCCTATGCACGTACTCTGACGTCAAGACCATTGGTCCTCTGAGCAGGCCCAAGGAGGGCATTGCTTAGGGAGAGATGGTGGGGGTCGTGAGTGTTTTTTGAAGCTTGTCTTGCAAGCGGAACCCCCCAGTCCCTGCTGACTGCAGCCTCCACCAGGGAAAGTCAGTGGGCATGAATAGGGGTGATGAGAGGCCCAGGCAGCCACAGACTAACATCCCTAAGGAGATCTGCATGAAAGCCACAGATGGAGGACAAAAGGAGCTCAATTGTTGAGGTGTAGCTGGAATGAGCTGGGATGGAAGCTCACTTGGGGTTTACTGATGCAACTGAACTTTGAATTGTCATTAAGTGCTGTCATGACAGTTTGCATTAAATGCATTTAAGTGACACTATCAAACATTTAATCAAATACTCCTATTGCTATTTATAAACTGTCCATGCCAACACATATTGCTCTCGTTTCATTGCCCAGGATTAACATGTATGACTCGTCAGAGGTCCTTGTCAGATGAGTTACAGAACTCTGGTTATGGGACTTATGTTCAAAAGTGACCTAAGCTCAGCCTGAAATACCAACTAGGCAAAGTAGGTCATTAACTGAGAGACCCAGTCAAATAGTCACTTTGTGGTAATTTGTTCATAGTAAGCTATAAAAGTTTTACCTTCATCCCAACATCAACCTGTAAGCATGGAATCTATGTTACCCTTGAAGAACCTCATGACAACTGTTACTCCCCAATCCCTAAACACCAAATAGCAACGCTCTAAATGACCACAAGCAGGGACTTAGTAAGAACTCTACCTTTGTAATAAGAAGGTTAATCCAGTCATATTCCCTTTCTGTGAGCCCTGTGTTCCCTCGCTGGTTAAACTAGCCACAACTGACTGTTATTTGGTTTGTGATACCTTAACTGTGTTCAGGTAAAGTCCTGAGTTTGACGAGTTATTTTTGTCTCTGTTGTGTAAAGTGATGAGGTTTAATATCAGTCTATTCACACATTAACTAATTAAACATTAATTTGCTCACTGAAATACACTTTTATTCACCCAATTTACCACAAACAGGGCGTCAATATTGGTCAATGAGTATCTGTCACCCAGGGGCCCACTTGTAGGTGGTTCCAGTACATGGTATTAGAACAGCTATTACATGCAAAATGAAGAAATATAGACCAAGAGAAATGAAACATGACAAAACTTAGAGACAACAAATTCATGCAACACACACAAGCTGTAAAAGGGTTCAGTCAGAAACATTTCCTGTGAGAAACATGGTTAGCACAAACCTATTAGCAATGTGAGCCCACAGAGGAAAAATAAAGGTGTGATGTCAAAATTTCAAAGGTAGCACTTGTTTAAAAAGTCTGGAAGACAGAGTTTTAATAAGGTGTGTGGGAGTCGTCCTGCTAACAGGAGGTTGTGTTAGTTAGTCTGAACCTCCCTACCTCTCACGTCCTCGTCCTCGATGGTAGTGTTGGCACTCTCACTGGACTCCTGTGAAACCACAAATAAAAGGATCTGTGAGTATGAGGAGGCACAAAACGAAGGCAAACATCTGCCAAGATCAGGAATGCTGAGTGTTTAATCACAGCAGGTCATTTCATCATCTACTTGAGCACCTGCTAGACGCTAACCTGTGGTTAGATTTTTGGCACCATCTCAGTGTTACCAGACAGATGGTGAAGACAGTATGCTGATATTTCATTTCATTTATTTATCGAGTGTATTTGATCCTATCTGGTGGTTCCTCATTGCATGTGTTATATGGAATAGCATTTCCTCAGTTCCTCAACCCCTGTGCTTTATTGATAACTTCACTATGGAGGTGGGGCGCCATTTGTACTGTTTTATTGGCTTTTTGTCTTTTTGTAATTTTGTCAACAGAAATAAATAGTCAAGATCTAGGAAAATGGTCACAACAAAGTGTAATGGACAAAAAACCTGTCAGTCAGACTAAACACAAAGCAGCACATAACTTAGTGAACTGAATAATCAAATTACTTCAAAAATGTTATGGCTATTGTGATCTATTTCTGGTAGTTTTGTATGGCAGTGCTCACTGAGTCAATGTTGTACTTAAACATAATACAGCTACGCATGTTTAAGCATAACATTCTATAGCGTTGTGAGTCTTTGGGAGGAAGAAATGCAGTTGTTAATTTAAAACAGAATATTCCTACATTCGTCATACATTATTCCTTTTCATCCCTTTGATGAATAAGGAATATCTTATGTATGACACATTACTTATATAATGGTCCTCTTGTTGCTTGCGGATTTAACAGATGTAAAAGCACGTATTGCACTGGTACATGTGATGGCTTAAGAAAACAGCTGCACACTCTCTGCACAACACTCTTACTACGCACAAGAACACACTGCGCTATGAGCTACAACACCATCATGTCACTGCACAAAGCAAAAAAAATACGAGCATGCACGCGTTCCCACAACATCATCTTATGGATTCTACATGATCATGTAGATCCATATGTCCGCACAAGAAAATCACCCAGACACACTATATGGTCTTAAGGCTATTCTGATAAGGATTTGGCTTGGAACAGCTTTAGGAGCCATGCCACTGCATGGTCTTTATTGTGTTCCAACAGCATGCGTAATCCCTTTGTCACACAAATGTAAAGCTGATGTTACAGTGACAATCCTTCGCAAAAGGTTAAAAAAAAAAAAAGACTCAATATGTTAAGATTACACATGACGACAGTTGCATAAATGCTCAGCATAGTAAGCAATACACAGAACTGAACACGCAGATGACCAATGTTAAGCGCAAGAATTACATGCAACAGTTGAAAACATGCAATATTTAACAGACTCTGTAGTCCCTTGTTTTTGCACATGACTTTTATGAACCACCACTGGCACACAGACATCATCATCAGAAGCAACGTGAAGGCTCTACTCTACACATCAGCACCAAGCTACAGCTGCAGACCAGCATCTGAACAGCTGTATACCTTGTTTCCATCAGCTGGGTTGTGGATAACAGTGGTTTGAGGCTCCTGATTTGAGACGACCGACAGTGGGAAGAGACGTTGGTGCAGAATGAAAGTGAGTTAGGAAGCAAGGTTGACAGAAGAGTATTTAGTAAAGTGGACAAAAAGTGAAAGCAGTGAAGGATTTGGAAATTGACAAAATTGGTATTTGGGGAAAGCAAGACGGCACTACAGCACTATTATACACACATGGGATGATGTGGGAATGGAAGTTGTGACAGTACCCTGAACATCATGTAAAGTATATCAAGTCTTTCACCACAGATGATCAGGTTTTACTCAGCACTGATGACAAGATGACAGTAAATGACATCAGACACAATGGTTAATAGACAGAATCCACATATCTGCCTTTCCTGCCAAACAGCTAGAATACAGACATTTTTTTTTTTCAAACGTTAAACACCCAGGAAAGGTTTTTTTTTTTTTACATGAAAGGCAGGCATTTAACCAATCACACACCATATTACAAACACATCAAACATATACCAGAATCACTCTCAAGAGATTAAAAAAAAAAATACAAAGAGGTAACAGAAATACATCTTCAGGGAGGATTTCCCACTCGCAGGTACAGTACATGCTATTGCACAACAATTTGCTGTACACTGGTGCTGTATCTGCTGATATGTCTTATGAAACTTTGAGTACAACCCCTGCAGGGTGAAGGCTGGAGGTCTGCAAGTGAACTCGGTCACAGTGATGATCATGTTTTCTGACAGAAGTGCACGGCTCCTAGTTCACCTAAAGATAATGCTACGCCGCCATTTATGGATTTCAATGTCGATGCAGGAGTCTGTATGTGGGTGACTGTGAGCATGATCATTGCCCTCTATGTAAGCAAAGGGGAAGAAATTCTAAAGGACATTTAGCAATCTGTACTAAAAAAAATCGCAGTTCTGCATGGATGGTGTTAGGGGACTGGCACATCCAAGGTTTGGTTGGCTGTTGAACTCCTCCAATTAGCACAAAAGATTAGCATCTGTGTCAGAAAAGATCTTTTTTGCTGAAAGAAGCAAGCTTAAGAAGCAAAGGAACAGTTAAACACTATGGGAATTATGCTCTGTTTTAGTCCGGTGTGTGATTGAATGGAGTTGAAGGTTGTGGTTAGCCTAGCTTAGCATAAAGACTGAAAACAGCTAGCCTGGATCTGTCCAAAATTAAAAATAAAATAAAAATATAGCCACCAATACATCTATTTCATTAATGAACTGACACATAAAAATGACAACATGTGGCTTTACAGGAGGGTTGTTTGCCAGCACATGATCCCACTAAAAGCACAAATCATGTTTCTATTTCCATACAGATGAAATAAAGTGAGATCATGTTGACTTGTCACCTTTAGAGTGCCAAAATTTGAAGAGATCCGACAAGCTGCGTCCCCCTGCTTCATGTCTTATTCTAGCGAGGTTAACCACTCCCCACCTCCCGCTCTAGAATTAACACACAGCCACATTGACATCAACCTTGTCACCTACATTATTTATCATGGTAAGGAGGGAAATCAGCCATGACTCCCTTGCTGCATTTCACTTAAAAATATCCCATTATCAACTGTCGTTAGTAGTTAAAGATTATCTAATAGCAATTCAGTTTGGGATTCTGAGTCAATTACTGTCAAATTCAACAATAGTGGTGTGGAGTTGCCCGTAGCAACACTGAAGCAGCCTCCGACAGGCTCCATTCCCCATAGGAACTGTAGCCGAGGCTCATGGGTACCAAAAATGTCAGAAATCCAGCAGAACATAAGCCTGTAATATTACTCTCAGTGGTTTTGTGTTAAATAATATTGAGAATATCTTTAAAAAAACAGTATTTAACACTGATAAAGACATTCTTCTGAGGCAAGCAGTCCTCCATCTTAAGAATTCTTGTGGTCTCAAGAAACAAACCAGTGTCGTCTCCGGCTTGGCTGACAACAAAGGCTTAAAAGCTGTGGCAAAAGTGTATTTGCCACAGTTGGCGTGCAATGGCCTCAGTGCCATTACAGCCATTATCAACAACAAAGGAGAATGTAGCCCATGTACAGCAACGTGGCAATGCAATAAAGCAATCCAGAAGTGCGTGTGGACAGCTCATGTAATACACAACCATGGTTTTTCTTAAGCTAAATAGAAAAAAAGAGAACACTCTGTACAATAAAATGGTAAAGGTGAGCTGTGTAAGACGGATGTCGTTAGAAGTATGGACAGATGTACAATTAGCAGCATGTCATGCAAACACAGGCAGCAAGGCAGGCAGACAATGTACCAGAGAAGGAGTGGGGACAGGCTCTTTGGGGCTGGTGACCACATTGGCCTTGTTGTTGATCTGGAGGGACAGAGTGGACAGACAGGTAGACAGACGAGACAGGGCAGAAGTGACAAGGCTTAGTGTCCAAACAGTCGCTCTTCAAGCAGCAGCTGCGGAGGGAAAAGTGGAACACCGTGCTCAGGAGCAGCCGTGGCGGATCGCAAGCATCAGTGTGTACATCAAATGTGTGTCACTCATTCGGCGCAAAACACTTCAAGTTTGGAGTTCTGACAGGCTAATCAAATAAACACCCTTTAATCAAAACTTCAATCACCAAATGTTACAAAGACAAGAGTTAATAGACCAAGGAGCACTCTTGTTGATGAAGAGAGACACTGTGGCGCGAAACAAATGACCCAATTACTGCGTAGAAGAATGATTAATTAGGTAAAACTCAAACTGACTTTGGTACTTGTTGCATTAGCGCTGATTTCTGCCTGCAGCACAGTAAACGCTGCATGGTAATCGGATGTGTGCGCTTCCAACATCTATGGGATAATATGTTTACTGCAAAAATGGCTTTTTTTTACCACAAGAATTCACATTCAAGCTCTTATCTGGCTGGCTGGGTTTACTGTAGGACAAGGAGTCGTGATAGAAACTTGAGGGGATGCACCATGAAAATGCTACGAACAGAATTTCATAGTCGTCCATCCAGTTACATTTTTTTTTCAGTCTGAGCCAAAGTGGTGGACCAAAAATCCTTCAAAAATCCCAAGCATGTCTAAAAAATGAGGTTGCTCCATTTACAGACTGCACATTATCATTAGGCCTTTTGTCTTACCATCTGCTGACTGCTGAAGACCTTATGATGGTTGTTTAATACAATAAATCATTAGATGCTCTATGCCACAAGTCGTCTGGTTTAGTGCTACCTACACATGTAATTCTAACAACTTTATCCGAAGGTGACTGCTTGGATTAGGTAACCTATTTTTATTGATTTACAGTTTTATGGCAAATAGAATGAAGCAATATGAAAGATGGCAAACGAGGTAAAACTGACATTGAAAGCAGGTCTCCCATCAGACTGTCACAGAGTTTTGTCACATTTCTTAACAGGAAAACAACCCTTTAACCTATTTTTTTGTGTGCAGTACTACATGTCAAGTCATTCAACTCCATTCTTTTTTTCTTCCCAGAAACCTAGAATGTTCTACAATAACTAGAGTCCAACTGACACTGGATTTGTGGGGTAGACAGTGATTTACAGAGTATTTGTTAAAGTTATATTGAAAAAAGGGAAATGATGGCGTCATTGTTTATTAATATTCTAGCAATGCAGTTTTACTAACTAATTAGCAACAGACTATGAAAACGCTGCATGACTCCGCACCAGTCTGCTCAGCTCTGATACATGCTCTGCTGCATGTGCTGCAGACAGTGCTGAGAGGATTATAGCCAATGGAGTCAAAGCTGCTCTGCAAGACAAACTACGTAATGACACTGTTTCTAAACTACCCCAAGCATCCTTTTAGCTAGTTGTGTGAGGAAAGTTTTCATATCAGCGTGCATCTGACAACATATATGCCAACACTCCCATATCTCGACTAATGTATTGGTTGGACTCAAACAGTAACTGTGCAGTTTGAATTCATAGACAAAAAGTAACTGACCATATGAAAACCTTGATAATGACATAATCAGGCATAGAGGAATATTAATAATCAGATATATTCATTGTTCCATAGACAAAATGACCTCACTTCAATTGTATTTATACAGCACCAAATAACAAAATATGTCACCATTATGGCCACTCAGTAATAGGGACATTGTAGAAGCACTGCTACCACTGTTACTATAGCAATCTATGGCAATATTCACCTAAGACTCTAAGGGTGAAGGAGTAGGGGCAAATCTTAATATTGCCCTTTAGGCACTATGTGGAATAAAGGTTTAAGCCCTGAAAACAAAACTACACACTAAAACTTGTCAACCAATTTAATTTTTTCCACTGGGGACACATTATATGACTCTTATTTTAAACGCCAATTGTTTTTTTCAGGATACACAGAGTTGGTGCTTTCTACAGAATTCAGATCAGTCAGAAACAGGAATTTGAAAGTCTGACTCAGATTTACTGGGCACAGGCAGACAATTATCTTGCACCACTCATCGGTGCAAAAACATCATCATGTTAAAGCCATTAAGGGCTTTTAACGTGACAGAGTGGTATTATTCTTTCTGGCTTTGGTAAAGGTTTTAGTCATTCAACTGTCTCTCCAGCACTAAACAACAAAAAACTGGCTGCTCCTGTATTTCCACTGATGGAGGATTCACCAAATGCGACACTTTAAGTCTGTTGAGTCACAATCTTGTGAAGAAACACAATCGTCACTGAACCTATGATCCATTGATGCAATTCTATACAATTTTACAATTAAAGTATTACAACACATTTAGTGAGACACGTTCCGTTTCTAGTTCTATGTGTTGATCTCAAATTTTCCTGGAGGTATGGCTAAGGTGCTAACTGTCAACTGACTAATGACTGATTGCCATTTATTGTTATAAGCGCCGCCAAAGAAAATGACACGGAGAAAAGACGTCCTATCATTCTGTTTAATGGCGATGTGTCAACCGTAACAGTACTCTATGGTTGGAATCATTTGGCTAAAAGCAAAATGTCCACTCTATGGAGAATGCAAACTTCCCCAAATCCCACAAATTCCTGAATAAAATCGTAGCTACAGCTCTGCTTGGAAATAAAGTAGACATACTTCTGTAAACAAGAAAAATCTCTACTATCTGCCAGTGTGTGAACAGATTAACCCAGTATGATATGATTTCCACAACATCAGATGTTTTCACTGTTGAGTCATGTAGTGCCTCCCCAGCCGTCGGCAGCATCGCGTTTGCGGTGGGATTTAAATACAACAAGGTTTGAGTTGCGAACTAAACACTGCAGGTGTCAGACTCGCTAACAAGCAGCAGGAAGCTAAGGCCTACCCCCAAACGCTCTGTGCTGTCCGTCTTCCTTTTCTGCAGTGCAACACAACAAGAGAAACTGAATCCATGTCTGACTGTACAACCACAAAACACACATTGTCATTCGTGCGTTCACTTTTTCAGCAAATGCTTTCAGGAAATACCCAGTTGATTGCAATATCCAAGTCCTGAGTACTGAGTTGAAACCATAGACTGGTGATTAAAATCTTCTAATGCTCATTCAGTGAAAGCGTTCTATCGTATCACATGCATCAAGTCACAATAATAGAAACAGTAACAGTGGTTTGTTTGATTAAACAGGTGATTGTGGGTAGTTAACACTAGAAACAGTAATTATCATGACTGAGAAGATAAAAAAAATAAAATAAAAAAAAGACGGCAGCCACCAGCAGGAGCTCATCACCAGCAAAAAACACACATTAGTCATTCAGTCAGGCTAGATTAAAAGGGAAATGTGTTTAAGAAGGAAATACCTCAGAACCAGAGTTCCAATTAACATGAGCCTTGGAAGGAGAAGCACTAACGATGAGGCAGCATGAGTCAGAGAATTGCAGATGTCAAATCAAATGACTAGTAATCATGGCCAACTCTGCAGCTCAACAGAGCCTTTCAGCCTCTTTTAGTTGACTGTTTTGTTTCTTAAGGCAGGCTGACGGAATAATTTAGTCGCATGCCTCTAATCACCCGTGTTTTTAGCAGCAGCTGTTTTCAATTTAAAAAAAAAAAAAAAGCTCTGATAAAACCAAGAAAATAACAGGGAGGGTGGACGTTCTCTCTTGTCAGATCGAACATCTTGACATCTGCAATCTGATAATCCAGCTTCCAACACTGATAGTCATTGATAATCACAAACTCCAAATCCACACACAATGATGAGATGCACAAACTGAACAAAAGCAACCACAGCTATAATACATAAGAACATTTTATGTGGTGCTTAATCGTGCCACATGATGGCATTAAGTTTCACTGTCTCCTCAGGCAATGGTGGGCCTTTTTCTTCATTTTAACACTATATGGGAGTGATGCTGTAGCAGGATTTTTTAAAATAGTATAATTAAGAGAACATTTGTGTAAAAAAAAAAAAAGGAAAAAAATATCTCATTTTAATGTGAAAAGGATCTTTTAAAAAAATGACAAAATGTATCACAGCACCCATCCAGACAAATTTACCATCTAGCTAAGCAAGCCCAAACCAGAGCTAAGAGGAGCTTCCATATCTGGGTGATGTTTATTGGATGGAGAGAAACATGACTAAAAGTTAAAGCTGCTCTGTCTCTTCATGCAGTGTAAAGGAGCTGTTTAACAGCAAATGAAGCCTCTGAGTATCACGGTGGGCTCATTCATCAATGTAATATAAAGCCCGACACCTCTCTGGAAACTGCACAAGCATTGTTAGAAAAAGAGAGTGTCAAACATGTCTTATGTGCAGTTTTTTGAGCTATGTTGCATTTATTTGACCTCTCTTTCCATCTCCTCTCTGCTCTGTGGTTACACAGCCTGCAGTTCAAATGACAAGTCACAAAATCACGACTGAATCTGGTTCGTACAAGATTACTTTTGGTGAATTTTTAAACACGGTATGTAGAATAAATTTTAAGTTTTGGTTTGGGTAATTTTCCCAAATTAATGGCAAATCACAGACGGCTAGTTCAAGGACAGTCAGAAAGTTGAAAACCATACAATTCGTTCTGGTTACTCTGATAAAAAGGAGTAATTTTGACTGTTTTTTTTTTTTAAACATAGCATGAATTTCAAATGTGTTTGGGGATTAGAAGGTTAACAAATTTAAAGTTCTGCTTGTTTAATGGCTCTTCTGTTTCCCTGAAAAGTGAATACAGTTTGAAACTGATGTAACCTTTGGCATAGCAATTCTCTACTTTCTTGTCCTTTCCATTCTCAACATTAGGTTGCATGATGTGAGACCAGAGTGTCTGATACTTGCTTACTGCTATGATCATATTTTCTTAGAACCATTTCTAATACCACAAATTAGCAAACTCTCTAAAAATGTCTGCATGTGTCACTGTAGATTATTCAAAGAAACCAGTTTATTGCTTTTGGAAAGCTGTTGGCTTTCCAAAGCTGCAGACTGCACAAACAAAATGTCATTCACCTCAGTCATGTCAGGTTGGCTCCAAGAGTCTCAGAGGCAATACCTTTGACATTAGCTGAAACTTTCCCCATCACTAGATACTGTAATAGGACAGTGAAAGACGGGCTTTTTTTTTTTTTTTTTTGTAATTTGGGTGAGCTAACTCTTTGAGAAGAGAAAAAAAAAAACCTTTAGAGAATACAGTGTTGAGGGATGAGAAAGCAAGTCTGGCTCATCAACATCCTAAACAAGGGTGAAATTGAATTCCAGATTTAGAAGCAGAGGGAGGAAATAGAAGAAGGGCGTACACACACACACACACACACACACACACACTCCTTGGTGGTATCAATGGAGGATTTCATCTCATGACAACTGAGCTGAGAATGACAGAGAGATGAAGCCTATCATCCACCCTTGAATCATAATTTAATCATCAGTTATTCGTTTCCAACAGTCTCCTCGGCTCAGACAGCAGATGCTCCTCCTCCTCCAACACACACTGACAATGCACAAGGGGATCATTATTGGGAAATATCTATCACACCCACTTGGGCAGACAAATTTCACTCCGGAAACTCGAGCTCCTACTTTTATCCATTTCATTAACAATGCCAGCTCTAAAGAAAAAACTGCACTGAAACAAACCTGCCGAGCTGCAGCAGAATATACAGTATTGTATGTAAAACAATAGTAAATGACATCTAAGAAACCGGTAGCGTGAAGACTGAAGGTATACTTACTTTGACACCATCCGGTTTTTTGTTCAGCAGGCTCTTGGCTGCTGTAGAGACAAAGATAACAATGCAAGGAAATCAGTGGCCAGCTGGATTGAACAAGTACACACACACACACACACACACACACACACACAGAGAGACACACACAGACGCAAACACGCACATGCACCAGGTCTATTCAAGGCTGGCCAATTACTAGCAGCCTCAAAGTGGGCCCTGCTAGAATTGGAAGCAGAAGAGAAAAATGCAAATTAAGTCAGGAGATGAAATAAAACTTAGTAAATCATTAGTCTGGAACATGCAATTAAGATTCATCTGACAAAACTATGAGACGCCGTCAGAGCAGCAGTGTCCAGAAGCTCTTAAACTTCTCCTTCCTTTTCTCTGCCCACTTTTTACTCGAGCACTTTTACCTTACGCACACCACAAAAACATCTCTTAGTTAGAGGGAAGAATGGAGTTGGAATCATGTGAGTGGTGATTTTTTTTTTTTCCCCCTCAGGGTGTTGTGGCCAATGAATGACCACTTACTTTTCAGTTAACATGCAAGGACAGTCTGAGACACGGAGCAGATGATTGGTAGTGGCAGGGAGTGCATCCTCTACAACAGTGAGGGGTTTATTGGAAGGAGGGATTATCAGACCATAGACATGTGCATGTTTAGTAACTGATACAGGCTTTGCAGTGACAACAGATATCTTTTGGCAGCCACATTAGAGAAAGAGCAAATAATTCAAAGGCTATGTATTTTTATAATTTGTACCCATATCAGGTTGCAAACATTTAGCAGCTGAATATACGTGTAAAATAATGTTATATTTATATATATCAGCAAATATAAACAACCTTTGTATAGCCATACTATATTATTTTAGGAATACAAGTCATGCATAGCAAATATGTATGTACATATAACACATTACTACTATATATAATAGGAACACATTGCAGTTGGTGATGGTTTGTACATGTGTAGAAATATATACATGAGCTTGTATTGAATGTATTGTCTGTCTACATGTGACAAATGTCAAATATCAATTCCCATATGTGGCTCATCAAAATTTGGGGTATTTTTCTGAGAATTTGTCCTAACAACTTACTATAAATATAAGCTAAATATTATAAAAGTACATGCAAATATATAACCATGTACTTATACATAAATAAAATAAATGTTCTTTTCAATGAGACAATCGTCTGTTTAAGCAATTTTTACATATGTACACCTATCACTCGTGTGTTCTGTACGTGTGTGAATGAAGAACAATTTTACACATACGGCAAAGTATTAATTTCAATAATAAATGAGCTGAAATATACACATCTTGGTTCTAGTTTCATAAAAGATACAGATTTCGCTCTGTATTGATTACATTTATTACCTAAGTCAATGCAAAAATAGCCTACAAATCAAACAAATCCATTATTTTAAGTAACACACTGGCAGTAAATTGTGCAGGTGTTGCTGAATGTATGTCTACATATAAAATTATTTTATACATATGATAAAGTACTGAATACATGCACATGCCAATTTATAATACTAGATTATTATACTGAGATAGACATATAATTTCTGTATGTGTGTAACAAAGCATTAAATTGTAATTTGAACTCATAAAACTTATCTTCCTCGATCATAATTAGTAAATCTTGGGTCTATACTCAAACATATTGCCACACATCGCAATTTTATTAAAGAAATAACAAATCTATACATATAAGATTTAGTTACTGATTGTATTATTTTGCAGTGTTCTTCCAATATGGCCACCAACTGATGCGCTGTGTCCAGCTGAAAGTCCGATTCTGGTGCTTTAGTAGACATGACATGCCTCAGAACCAAACCTGGTAGTGACAGTTCAGCACTGTGGAGAAGTGCCAGCTACGCCCAGGACTCTTACCTTGCACATGAGTTACCACACAAGAGGAGGGAGGAAGAAAAACAAAAGTGAACACTAAGGGCATGTTTACACTGACATTGATGCAACACTGGCAACTGACAGTTTAAAGATTTACAAAATAAAATCAAAGTAAATGAGAAAAAGTAAGCGTCTCTGTCATTTGTCGTAATCAATAATGTTAGACTAAGTTTGAATGGTTTGCCCTTTAAGGACCTGCAGATGGGACTTTATCGATCTGTGGGATCCTTCAGTCTTTGTTGATAGCAGCTCAAAAGGGAAGACATATGGAGGTTAATGGGTTCTAAAGGCCAACACATTAGAAAAACAGCAGAACTCAAAAGATCCGTACTTTAAACAATAATTCAGTACATAAGGACACGGTAAAGAGGGTGTCGAAGAAAGAAAACTGTCATCTGCAATCAATGGTATTTCAGACAGTGACAGCATGTGGCACTGCGTTGCAAGAGAATCGATACTTTAGGTAGGACTGGAAAGAAATGTGGCCATTAGCTGTCAGCCTTCATTATAACTGGTTCAGTCCTACCTGAGAAGTTGCGAGTGGCAAGCATAGTCGTCAGAATAGCACCCTGGGGAGAGAGAAATGCACACTGAGAAAACAAACTTCTATGTGTACACAGTCTGAAAGGTTAATGATTAGATCTTGTGCTGCCTGGAACAGGAATAGGCTGATTACTGAAGTATTATAAAGCTAATCAGAGCAGTGTTTTCGAGACAAAACACTAAATCTGCTTGCTTTCTCATTAGATATTGCGACAAGTGCTTGATAACTCTGCTGAGCTATTGGCCCAGTTGTTATCACTGACCTTGAGTTTCCTTCTAGCGTTGAATTTCTTGAGGCACTCCACGGTCTCCTGTCTGTGCATCATGGATGCCACAGTGGAGCGTTGCTGTAAACACAGAGAGGCAGTGTGTAGTGTCATAAAGTGTTAACTAGGAGATTATTAGAAAGACAAGGCTTGACTGCGTTTAGTGAGGAAGCAGATGTGAAAGTTGTTGGTGCGACACGTACGCAGATCCAGGGGTGTTTGAGAGCATCTGTGGCAGTGACCCTCTTGGCTGGGTTGATGGTCAGCATCTTGTTGATTAGGTCTTTGGCCTCTGGAGTCACTGTGTCCCACTCTGGAGAAGGGAACTGCTCGAGGAATGACATCATGGAAGTTATTTTTAGCGTTCCACCAACATTTTATCTCACTGTCCCCTTGACTGTATTGTGCACTGAGCACCATCCATATGTAACACTATGATTTAGATCCAAATAAAATAGCTTATGTTAATGCAACTGACATAAACATTGTTTCTTTTCTTTTAGTGAGGAACATTTTATCCCTTATAAAGGTCAATTCAGACATCTCATAATATCTAACTATCTGTTTTTATGTCCTCAGGGCTAGAGCTGAGTGCTGAACTACTGAAAGTTTCCTGATCTACATTTGAGACACTTTTTACATTTAAACAGTATTTTGCTCTTTATTTAGGACTGATGCAATGTGTGGTTTGGCATAGAACATTAAACACAAATAAGGTTTAGAATATATTTTTATCACCCAAATTAATCGCTCAGTTGATGCTTTTGTTTGTTACCTGAGGTCTTGGGCTACAATGCACAACTTTTACAGATACCCAGGCTGTATAACAGCAGCCTGCATATTCAAACAGACCCTGTTATAAAGTTGTGATCCTTGAATATCAGAACCTGTGAACATTAGACTGGTATTTCTTAGTTTCAGATCTATCGATGGTGCTTATTTGAACGTCTACATCATGGCTCAATATGGAAAAGAATTGTCACAGGAGCTGAAAAAACTGATTGTGAGACTTTACAAATATGGAAAAGAATTTCAGGAGGACTGGTGACCACCTAAAAACACATTTACGTCAGTATTCAGCAGATACTGAATAAGCCACAGTAGCACTTATCAGGAGCCATGCTCCTAAAATGACGCCATGGACTGTGTGTTATTTGCACATCTAGTTCTGAGATAAAGATGGGCAAGTACGTCAGACCTGGCACAGGGGTTATCAAAGGAATCTATAGTTTCTGTGACGGTTCAGACAGCGATACGGACATTGCATCATGTCAACCTCTGGAGACGGCATCCAAGAGAAAAAAGAAAAAAAAATTTTGCTGTTTAAATCAAAACTGCAAGATGACTTTGCTAAAGAACATGAGAAGAAGTTGGGAAACATTCTTTAGTCAGGTGAAAACAAGGTGAATTTGTTTGGCTCAGATGGGGTCCAGCATGTTAATCTGGTCAGGACTACTACAGTGAATGCATAGTGAAGTACAGAGGTGGGAGTGTGATCACATGGGGCTGCATGAATGCAAAAGCTGTTAGGTATGTGATAGTTACAGATAGTGCCATGAATGTTGGCAGATACACCAGAATACTGGCCAACAAGATGAATTTCCAGTCTACACAAGTTTAGCAGATGAGGAATGTTCTACCCCAAGTACGCTACCAAAATCACACAAGAGTTACGAAAGAGAGAAGCGTGAGAACTACCACCTGGCCAAGTATATCACCTGACTTAAATCAAAAAGAACACCTTCGGGGTATAGAGAGGTAGAGAAACAGAAAACCATTAGCAAAAAAGCAGCTTCTTAAGAAATGTGGAACATCTCCACTAATTTGGCTTCCTCCATGCCAGGGACTGAGAAACTTGAAAAATAAAGGTGGACACATAAAGAATAATATTAAAAAAAAGAATTTCAGTCATAAAGGGTGCCCTGGTTTGGCCTGTATTTTCAATGAAGTAAATCTTAACTGTTAGTGTTCAATTTTTTAAACAGGGGTGATGCAATTTAAATCATTTTAGTGATATTGCTCAGGCGTGTACTCACTTCAGTTCCATATTGTATGCTATTTGCTTTGAATTGTTAAAACTCTGCAGGGTTCCTTTAAGGTATAAAAAATGTTTTGCTACCACAAAATAAATTATTATATTGTCACTGATACAAAGTTTCCGTAAAGTACCCAGTGCCATGTAGTGCTTTAATATGTGCTTATGATAATGTGTTATATTCTGAATGCGTCCTGGATGTATTAACACATCGGTGAAAACTCTATCTAGCACAAATGCGCATGTAAAATGTATTTCTGATTCCCACTGCCTTTATTAAATTTCATTGGACAAACTTGTACTTAAACACCACAACTCTACAAAAACAAACTGTACATCTTCATCTTGTTGCCGCTGTTTCATCATCGCATTCATCTGGTTGAGCGATGGAGAACAGACACTGTTTACAGAGCTGTTCTGCTTTGATAAAGCAAAAGATTAAAGCGACTGAAAGAAATACATAAAAGGAAAGGAAACGGTATGAAAGAGACAAACAGAGTTTTTACTTCACTACTTAGCTTTGAAATGCCAAAAAAAAAAAAACTGCTTCTCCTAAGTCAACTCGACCACAGTAACTTAACGCCTTCTTGTCGTTAACATCAATTAGCACTTGGCCCTGAAACACAGCTACACAGAAGCATCCTTTGTCCATAAAAAGTTAAGAAAAACCTTGATGCTATAGAAACTCGGTGACCCCCGCTTGGCTATCACAGTAAGTAAACACAGCCAAAGCAGGCAGCCGAGAGACGACAGGCTGCGGTTTAATACAATATAACTCTGCAAGCGACTGAGACGAAGCTTTACTTCTATGCTTAATGTACCAAATAATGCCTTGGGTGAGGAATCAGAGACAGCTCTTTTTGCTACAAGCTATATGTATGCCCAGATACAAGATGCAATTAGGAACACCTGAAGAATACAGCAGTGATAGAAAGTTTAAAGTGAACTTTGTATTGAAATTACAAATCCCCGTGGCTATCTGTTCTCACTTCTGGTTTAGTCCTTCTGTGTGCAAGAACCAAAAAACTAAAAACTGAAGTTATTCAGCTTTGTCTTTTGTATTGTTTGAGATATTTGAAACGTATTGTTTTAGTATTTAGCATTCAATAATATCTCATTTCAGACACCTGATCCGTGTCGGTGTAAACTCACATCATAAGCTCCGGCTTTAATCTGCTGGTAAAGTCTGTGCTGGTCCTCGTCCCAGAATGGAGGATATCCCACCAGGAGAATGTAGAGGATCACACCTACACAACACACACACACACACACATTTTGATCACAGTTAATCTGGACATTCAGGACACTTTAATTAAAAAAAGACATTTTAAAGCAGATGTTGAAGGAATTTCTGTCCAAATTTCAAGAAAATGTAAATAAATGCTGTTTCTCTCCACTACCTTTATTTTATAAACACCTGGTGGAGCTCATTTCCCCATCTAGTGCTTTTAAACTATTGCAGAACAAGATGATGAAATTAAAGCGCTCCAAACCTCAGCTGGTGAAAGAGCGTGAGGAAAATCATGTGGAAAATGTGACTGGATATGTAAGTTTGTTTTCTGTGTAACTTTGTGGAGGGTCACAGTTTCCCCGTGGCTCCACACAGATCTGATATTTTCATCCATTTGTCCTCTTTCCAGGGTAGCGGAAGCTTCAGTGAGCATCGCAGGCAAATGCTTCACGAATGTCATCATTTATTCACCAAGTTTGTTTCCATTGCGCCTTGTTGCATTTTGTTTTAATTGCCAACATCCCCACCTTAGTTAAACAATATTTGGACGTTTTGAGCATTTTCCTTCTTATTTTAATGTGCAAATTGAAAATGCCAACACAAAACACTTAATGTTAAAGATACAAGTACTGAATCCATAACTCTGCACTGGCATTGAGAAAAACAGAAATCATGATAAATATAGCAAAACAAATGATGTCTAAATAAAGAACAGTGTAATAACAGCATCTGTTTGCCTCTCTTACCAAGACCGGTGCTTTTGATTGGCTGGTCAGTTGCCAGGAATAGATGAAAGGCCCTCTTATTTGACGATGAGACAGTCTAACCACAAACACAACACCGGCTATTGTTGCTGTGGACTCAGTGAGTCAGCACAGGTGTGTTTAAAGGAGCACGAGTGTGTGTTTTACACAGTGCGTGTCTGACATCTCAGGCCCAGGTGGCCTGGCCCATCAGATGTGTGTGTAATGAGCGTCAGCAATGATTAATTCAAGAGGTTGGAGTCCTCTATACTCTTCAGTGGTACAAAAACTAAAGAGTAGCGCACGCACACACTCGCACGACAGACTGAATGAAATGGCGGTAAACTAAAAACTGAATTTAAAGTAATTTGAACAGACATTGAAAGCACATTCACTCAGTGTCCTCAGCAGCCAGGTGTGGCAGGCGATTTGCCAAGAGGTGTATGACACATTCAGTGTTGGGCTGTAAACTTTCCATGCCAATTTCTATTTTATCAGTATAGTCCTTTGTGCTCCTCTGTATTGTATTATTTGGCTGCAGGACAGCAGTGTTCATAAAAGGCAATTTCATTTCCAGCAGAGCTACTGTAGGCTGGAGTTTATTTGACATTATGGTGAAACTGCAACTGCTAAAACTGCACAGTGTGTGTAGCTTGAACAGCATGATGGGCATTTTGGATTTGACAAAGCAGGTGGGGGAAAAAAAACTGTAGGTACACACAAGCTGTTTGCTACCTAAGTAAAATGTGACATTGATGTAACCGGAATAATTTCTTTATTTTTTTAAAATAAGGAGGTCATTCGCTCCTCAATCATATTATAAAAACATTCTAACTCACATATTCTATCCATCCTTGCACAGGATAAAAAGATAGATGATAAAGGTTCAGATTATAATCCACTTCATTTTGGTGACTTCTTACTGCATTACAGCTACGTGACAGCTTCAGCTTTAGCAAATTTAGGACATTAATGAACCAAAAAATTTAATAAAACAAAACTAAATTACAATATACTGAGCCCCAGTGGCCCAGCAGTGCATATAATAGCTGGAATTGCTATTATCTAATGTGAGGGCTCGTAAATGAAACTCACCTAAAGTCTGATTATGTCTTCCACCACTGGCTACAGTCGTAATTATGCAGGACTTTTCATGTGTAACAACTATTTAAGCTGGTTTATTAATTTTTGCTGCAGTAAAAGCAGCTGTAATATTACAATCCAACTTGTTATTAGCAGGGTTTCAAAACATGATTCCACTCTGCCCTGTTCTTTTCAAGCGGTTCCTTTAAGGAGGGTTTTGATTGGCTGTTTCAAGCCATGAAACTTGTGTGCAACTAATAATAAGCAGCTGCTACTGTACATTAGGCTAACTTCAGTCAAACAACAAGCTGAGCTAAAGATCTTACCACAGGCCCACATGTCAACAGGCTTGCCATAGGGATCTTTCCTCAGCACCTCTGGAGACAGGTAGCCTGGTGTCCCGGCAAAACCTGAAACAAACACACACAAAAACATTAAACTTGGCCACGTCCTGAATATAGAGGTTCATCAAAAGCTTGTTAGGACTGTCTCCTAAAAGGCAAGCATTTCACTGTAGCGAAGGATCAGTGGTCCCATAAATTTAGGTTTATGAGCCGAGGTTAACAAGCTCCAAGAAAGGAAAACACCACTTTGCGGGTATGTAGTTTGGCTCACGACCAGCCTACTTTTAAAGCAGCCTCAAAGTACCAGTAGACCCTTTGGGCAATGAGACGTCGCACCACTAGTAGTAAAGTCAGAACACAAAGTGAACTGGTTCCAGATGGAAGCTGGTGCTGGGGGAATAGACTAATTACTTCTCTGTTCTGCAGGGAATAGTGAGAGAGAAATAGGCCTGATACCCATCCAAATCAAACTAGAGATAAGAGCCGAGAGCACTGGCACACCTACTCCCTTTAGATAGGTGGATAAATGACAGAATGGCACAGTTGTAGATTTTCGTTTGATTTAGATGTTTAAAGAAACACAAAACCGGGACAAAAATGTAGTTGGTCTATTTCATGTTTCTTTAATGAGCTTTCCTGAAAGCAGGTGACAACAGAGACAGAGAAGAAGTGCATAATTGTTACACTGTCTTGTGAGGGAAGACGTCTGAAATGGGTTTTGTGCATCGGTGAAATTGCTGAAAAAGATGCAAGCAAATAAAATACAAAAGAATCTAAAACATTGGCGTCAATATGGGTAGTTAAATTGTCTCAATGTGCATGTCAAAGTTTGGCTACATTAGAGAGTAAATGAACAGTTGTCTCTTGTAGTGAACATGAGGAAAATGTGCAGGTGTACAGAGCTGAGCCACTTTAACAAGCTGTTATTAACAAACTGTGGCTTGAAATTAGACACCACAGGACACCTTCAGATGTCTTGTAGAGTCCATGCAAGTCCCCATTAGGTTGGGCTTGTCATAATGTTTCGCTCATCAGTGTATATACTGTATATAACCAGCAGGATTTACAGCAAGACAACAATAAGGGCATAATTTCTGAACTACCAATGCAACTGGGCTTTGACATAAAGTATAAATCATACAGATGCTACAAACATAATGTAGATCTGTGATTAGAATTAAAAATTACTGAAACTAAAAATCAGTTTTTCACCCCAAGACAGTGAACTGGGACACTCGGGTCAACAAGTGTGTCAGCCAAATGTATATTTAAAAGCATTAAAAAAAACAAAAAAAACAAAAACCAAACTGAGGTGCCACAGAATCACATGACAGAAAGCAACAGAGAAAGTCGAGGGCACTCACCGAACCATGCCTGCTGGTCTCCCTGTACTTCAATGGCCAGGCCAAAATCTGCCAGTTTAACCGCCGCCCCCTTCAACTTGCTGGCTAGGAGCAAATTCTCCGGCTTTGGGTGAAGGAACACAGACAAAACCCGTCAGTGTGTCACACTAATTGATATCAGTTTAAAATGAAAATAAACATGACTGAGGTGAAGTGGTTTGGTTACTGGCAAGGAATGGGCTCCTAAACAACGGGAAGGGTCATTGTAGTGCACAATAACATTAAGGATTGATATCAGAATGCGGTTGAGCGTTTATCAGTTCAGACTAATATCTGAGCTAGAGGCCAAGTGTAACTGGTCTGCAGCCAAACAGATAAATATCTACTGGAGGAAAGCATGTCAGAGTCAGAGTCCAGCCTCGACACACAGAAAGCCACCAATGACTCATGTTGAGCCTGATTACATTCAGGTTCAGTCAGGGGCCATAGCTGACCTCAGCCCAGCAGCATGAGTGGATGTGTTAAACAAGATGCTGCAGGCGACGCTCAAATGGACTGTGCGAGCCCAGCTGGTGGACAGGGACTGGGTGGGGGGGAGGCAGACGGTGACTCATGCCAAAGCCCAGGAAATGTTAAGAGCGGAGAGGGGCTTCACGAAAAGGTTCGGAGTGGCTGAATAATGTATTTGCTGACATTTTCAAAAGCAGTTTCCTTGATGGAGCCAAGTAGGTAAAATTAGTCAAAATGACTGTGCTGTAATGTAGTAACAACAAAGGGGGAGGCTGCTGATGATTAAGCGGGAAGCTGCTTTTTATTCTGCAACAATTACACCCAGTTATTTTAATAGCACTGTGGACTTTGCATGTGCATTATGAAGGGCAAAGCAAGCTATAATCTATTCTAGTGCATGAATAAATTGTAATTCACTTATATACACTTGTATAGTTTTACTCTGACATAATGAATATACATTTGCACTTCCACTTCATTACTCACATTTGCGTGATACTCTGACTGATGCAAATGTCTCGAATGGGAAAGACACCAGCATCTGAGCTTCTGAGGTTTTAAATCATGAAAAATCCTCTATTATCTCTGAAAGTTGATATTAACTGCCCCCCTCGGTTGATGTCTAATACTTGTTGTCCTAATGTCTGCCTACTGGGGGTTTAGATTTTGCAATCTATCTAAATGAAGTTCTTCTATCTGATTTTTCTTGAGCAGCTCAATTTAACCAAAACGGTGTAAATGTTATTGCTTGAACAGCTTAACAAATGGAACATATTGTTTGTCCTCGAGGCAGTTTGGGGTATTGTAATTATACCTATGCCTGTTTGAGGAGTAAAACCTTTAAATGTTCATTGTAAATTTGCTAATTCCACAGTTTACATCCCTGTAGTTTCAATAGTTGTGCCACTAGTGATCTGTTTTACTTTGATTTAGTGTGCATATATGCAACACCGTCTTTGAGACAACACATTGACACTGATAAGACCACTCACAAATAAAGTGAAAAACGTCTTGACTGGTAAGTGAGCAGTCATTCAGGATATGTGAGAAATGTGCAGGTTTAAGAGCTGAGAGACTTGGACAAGGGCCAGATATTTATAGCTAGATGACAGGGTTGGAGCATCATCACGGATGGTGAAGTGTTTCCAATCAGCAGCAGTAGGTATCTACGGTAGTGGTCAGAGGATGGACAAACTCCAAACCAGTGACAAAGTGTTAGCAAATGTGCTTGAAAAAGTCTGGTCTGCTCCAGCATTTTCAACTATTCTAACATTAATGTCTCAGTGCCAGATACTTCATAGAGTCTTAACCGGAGATGGTTTGGATCATCAGTGTAAATACTACTAATTTGCAACAGAAAACTTACTTAATGTTGCTTAAATATGTTTTTTTCAACAGCATAAAGTTATAAAATAGCATCACATCCTAAATGGGAAAAACAATATCCAGCACTGTCCCATAACACTGATCCAGTTCTTACAAGTAAACATTGGTTGCTATGAACATTTCATTAAGTAGGAATCAGTTTGTGAAGTGATTTGGATACAAAAAAAAAAAAAGAGGCATTTTGGATTTATAATCTCAGAAGCTCACATCAGAGATGCGGAAACAAATTGAAAGAAAAGCCACATTAGGCTGTGTTATGGTAAACATTCAAATTTCATTGATCCCAAGATTTACTGAGGATTTCAAAAGTAGGAAACTTTTCTTGTTGGCTGCTGGCAGAAGCAGACACACAGCCAGTGCTGGGCAGTTACACCATTTGGGCTCCAACTGTCTCCGACTTCAATATTATATTTTGGAAACACTGTTGCTTACTGTACTTGGGTTCATCTGCCTTTTCAAAGCAACATGGACAAGAAGCTTTTTTTCCAGGTTCTCAGTCAGTCAGATAAATGACCTATCCACCTACGTCTGTTACATACATACTGAATATATATATATACATGCACACCTTCTTTTCTACTGTTAACGTAAGTGAAAATAAATGTATGTGAGAGCAGAAATAGAGCCAGAATGAATGACCCTGTACAGGTCTTCATATATTCCCCACACCTCAGATATACATACATTTCATTACTGTCTGTGCACTTCATTCCAAAAGGCATCAGTCATGTCATTGACTGAAGTCAATTGAAATCCATTTCATCAGTCAATGTTCATATTTCAAGGTTACTTGAGCAGTTAGTGGAGCATGTGTGAGTTCTAAATCGTGCAATCCCAGGGGGGCATGCTGTGGTAAGAGGGTGAGGAGGAGGAGGAGGAGGAGGAGGAGGAGGGGAAGGAAACTGGGAAGGTGAAAGTGAAAAGAGGAGAGAGGGAGGAGGTCGGGGTAAATGCATTCTTTGGCATCATGCAGTCATTGCAAACGCTTCCTGGAAACACTGGAACCACCACAATCCCAGCCCTGGAAAACAAACATGTCACCTGGGGGAGGCAAAAAGGAAGAAGAAGGGCAAGAGGAAGGAGGCAAAAGTTTTGAGTTTGATCATGTCAAGTAGCATCTACCCTTAGCTTACCTAAGCCTGATGCCTGCTGCGTTGCATCAAGACACACTAACCCTAAAACAAATGGTCCATTTCTGGTTTCCACATCTGTACATTTGAAAGATTCCATGTTATGCAGCTGCAGCCACCTTTTTTTTTTTTTCTTTTAAGCTTTTCATGTTCCTTCGCTCAAAAGCACTTGATTTTGCTGTCAAAGGGGCCAATTATGTTTTCAAAGTCACACATCAGGAACATGTCTGTATAGGCACGTGACCAATTGTAGTATTTATAGAAACGTGTGCCAGTCCGGCGCATGTGTTCAAGTTCGTACCTGTCATTAAAGGCAAGAACCACAACTCGGCCTTCTCACTCAAAGCCTTACATTGGCCATAATTTCTTAAAGGTGTGCTAAGAGGTAATCAAACAAACCTTCAGGTAGTCAAACTTATTAGAAAGAGAAAACTAATTATGACCCAGTTGATGCTAACATCCATTAACAGACCCAATTGTCCCGTTGAATTTAATGCATTGTGTCAGTGTGTCAGTTTTACCTCCAAATGTTCTTGCTTCGATCATTTGACTACACTGCTGGTTTGTTTACAACCTGTTTGACCGTCTGGCTGCTCTGACATGCCCTGCTGGACTTGACTTTGTTGTAGCAATGTCCCAATGTTTCCAAGACCTCACCAACACAACTAAAAGGTGGGAGAAGGTATTTCAGGTGACTCTGGTTCCAATCATTTTGTAAATGTTCTATGGCTCCCAGTGAGTGTTTTTTTTGTCTGTTTTGGTGGGTACGACGTGCTCCCAGTTGAAACATCAGTACAAAAGATGAAAAGCTGTCAGACAATGGCTGGTGCTTTCATTTAAAAAAATAAATGCATTTAAAAAAAATCTCTAACTACAAGCTTACTATAAATCATTCCATAAAAATTGTCTCCCGAGGTACATCTTGACAAAACTCATTCAATCAACAAGCTTTGAATTCAGCGACTGACAAGCTAAAGATTACCCTGTTTAGAGAAATTATCTGCTGATTCACATTCAGAGTCTGGGTCAGTCTGAGATGAATTCTGCAACTATGGAAGCATGTTTTGTTCACAACAATGAAGCCTTTTGAATAGGCCACTATTCTTCTTTGTGCCACTAAATGTTTTTCTTTCCAGCAGCCTGTTGGGAAGTGTGGCATTTAGAACAAAGCAGCATGCCAGACTGCCTTAAAACAACATGGTCTCTTTCAACTGAACTGAGCTGAAATCGCATCGTAAACATGTACGTTTTCTGCATAATCTAGATTCTCACGCACACTGGCAGTAACACAGAGGATATGAATGAGAGTAACATTTAAAATAGGAATACAGAGTTAGGAAAAACACGCAACACAACAAGGGGCTGCTCCTGCTTTACAACTCATTTAGATGAATATGATGTTAACTAATGGAAAATAGCCAATAATAAGTTGTTGCAAGTTCTACTTTAAAATATAAGACTGAAAGAGTGTTCCACATGGGCTGCATTCCTAGAAGACTTGATGACGCGCTTTCAAATCTGTTTTATTATTACTCAGATGGCGCCATATGGATGGTAGAGACCCCGTGTGCTTTAACGCCTCTTGATGCATCCCTGCTTTACAGATTTTTTTTTTTAATTTATTAACAGCTCACTAAGCCCGGAAAGCATTGAAGCAGCCTTTAAATACTACCTAGTGTGGCCTGCATATAAGGTTACAACAGCCACATACATGCAAACACAGTCAAACCTGCAGGGTGATGAAGACAAACAAATGCCCCGAAAACATTTTGCTGGATGCAGGATGTAAACACACTCACAAATACATGAGGAGCTTTCTGCATTTGTGTACAGCTCAAATCAGGTTGATCAGGATTTATGCTCGCGCCTTGCTGTTACTGTGTAATGGCTGTAATTGGATTCTATCTAATACAGTGAGGCCTAAACTAGATAGAATTACTGGCCTGCTAAACCAGCCTAAGGTGGAGGGGGGGGTTCTGCTTCAGTCTGGAAGACTACTGCAGTTCCTGACAAATGCACACACTTGCTGCCAAAAATCTGCACAAACAACTTTCCCACAGGTCGTAATGTCTTTATCTCAAATGGGATATCCCGCATTATCTTACATCAACACATTACTGCGATTTTCCAGAAGACAGCAGGAGGGAGAGATGTGAGAAATGAGGGCCAACGGAACAAGAAAAGAAAGAGAACTAGGTGACAAATGAAAGGAAAAAATGAAACTGGACAGATTTAATGCTTCTTTTCATCTCAACATCGATAAAAATCCACAGGACAGATGGACGCAATCTATGGTGTTTGTCTGGTTTGAGTTCTGGTGACTTCAAAGATTAGAATTATTGATTACAATAATTCCCGCGCTCAATAAACCATCCACTGAGTCCTGCTCCCACGTATGTTAACATCTGCTTTTGTCATTTCTCTGACAAACTCATTTATTTAGGGGTTTCCCTTCATTTTTTGTTTCTTGGTTTGTGCTTGATCGTGCAGCCTCACCATCAATAATATTAACGTGAACAGAAGAAGAAACCCAGAGTCACAAGGTCAGGGGAGGTGGAGGGAAGCACGAAATCAGCATATTGCTCAGGCTCCTACTACTGAGTGTTTGTATTACTGATTAAAGTGATGATCTTCCTAATTATCATGGTCAATCATGCTTTATTAAAAGTAAAAATGATCACAAATGCACAACACAATTTCCAAAAACCTGTCTTCAACAGTCTAAAATCTGTGACAAAAACCAGACCTCATCTTTAAATCCACTTTCAAAATCTACCTCATAGTCTTTCTGACCTGGTTTAAGTGCCGTAATGCTACCTGTGGGCATCAGGGATCAGATGTCGTTTGTGTCATTCAGTCTCTTGCACAAGGTTCTTACTGTTTTAAGTAATGTAATCTTCCTCCATGGGTGGGTCTTCTCTTTAGTCCATTGGCACTCATTTTTTTGAACAAGTGTTGAGTACTTGTGACAAAATCTGGTTAAATGCTCTGACAGTCCAACTGTGTAAAGGAGTCACGTGGATGCTTCTTTTGGTCCCCATTGCGCTGGCAAAGTTGAACTTGAACTGAAAGTGGTTGCTTCAACAGTATAATGAGCCTAAACACATAAGCAAATCCCCTGAGGCATGGCTCAAAAACAAGAAATGGAGATTATGGAATGGGCTAGTCAAGAAAAACATCAGATTTAAATGTTGTGGCAGCTTTTTAAACAAGTTTCTGAAACAAGGCTACCTGTTTTTGCACAGAATATTCCATCTATTTATTTTTTCTTATGTTTTCATCACCTTTATTCGCATCCAAAGAATCAATTATTTAGTTTTCCACATATAAAAAAGAAAAAGTCCAACACTTTGTCCATGTGACTTTACGTTTACCGTGACTGAGTTTCCCATAAAAGGAAAACTACACAAATTTTGCACATAAAGTATGTTTCTAAGTGTTTGGAAATAGATGTGCACATGTGGAAAAGGCTTTTCATATCTCCAGAGGGAGCTGAGTGAAAAATGTCCTCCAGTAATATCACTTGAGTCAGCATCAGTGGGGGATGAAGAACTTTAGTTGGGGAATGGAAAAATAAAATTAAATAAATAAAACCTGAGGATGTGAAGTTATGCTGCATTCTGGACAACATGGAAGGCCAAAATGTACGGTCTTCGAGTTGGAAAAAGTAGGATGAGTTCCATGGGAGTTCCAACTGGGATGTTAGCCACGACGAGCATAAGGTTCTGTGGTTTCTGACTGAAGTGTTCAAGTTGCTTTGTGTGTCACCAGGTTTTAACAATGAAGAAGAACAGATGGACTAATTCTTTTAACAAATTCTTTTCTGTCACAGCAGAGGAACAACAAATCAGTGGAGTGTTCTGAAGCTGAGATTGTGTCGTCATGCATTCTGATCCCATGGTAAAAAAATAAAAACAAAACTGCCAAAAGAGGCTAAAGGGCAGCCTCTCCTGGTGCAAAAACAAACGCAGAAATTGTAGCAGTTCAAAAGCAGGCCTGCATTTGCCTTTACTGCCTCACAAAAGTTCTAATGTTTGACGCCAGCACGCAATAAATCCACGTGTCTAGACTCTTCATATAAACTATAGAGCTTTACAAGAACTTTATAAAGTCAGCTATGTATCGCTTTTTGGGGTGTACGAGTGTATTTTGGACAATCACTGTTTGGAGAAATGAAATCACATGAATACACACACGATGTGGGCTTCTTTCCACAGTGTGTCTGCTCTGCAGCTTGCTTATTTGTTTTGGTTGTATTTGTTTGCCTTTGTGTTTCTTCAGTGAGCCGTGGCGGCTGCCTGGCAACAGCCAATCGGAGCGCAGAGAGAGGGTAGTCGACGAATGCAAAATGCGAGCTTATTATTGCTGAAGGTAAACCAAACCTTAGACACACCCGGCTCATTTGATTGGCAAATTAAAGCTTTGAACCACAGTGACAAAAAGCAGCATTAGAGGTGAAAAGAGAGACCGCTGTGGATGTAATGTTTACTAATGTCCAAACTCCAAGAACATTTCATCATGTAAAAAGCCACTTAAATGCAATCAAACCATCTGAGGCTATGACCCCTATGCTGTGTATAATCTTAAACATCAAACAATATCATGGTCCGGTTAAAAAATATCTCAATCATAAGGGACTGCTTCATTACTAGAAGCAGGGAATCTTCCGTAGATACTCATAAAAATGCACCGCAGCACTGTTATGAGCAATTGGAGAAGCTTAATATGAAAATAACATCTCTAAAGAAAATAAATAAATAAATAAATGATGAAATCCAGCCATAATAATGAAGTGACAAGAGTAAGAAAAGTCATTTGATGTGATCAAAACTTTAAAAAAAAAAATAAATCAGGAAAAAATGACTCAAACCAGGAGAAAACCATCGTGGACATAAGGATCTGACAGACCAGGTCACCTTCAACGAACTTCAAAGAACAGGGCCCCCACAAATTACAGACCTGAGGGCCCATGGCAAAGGTTTTTCTCAAATGCAGTACGCGCTGCTATTTATAGCTGCAAAGTGGCTGGAGGGCCGCCAGTCTTATTTTCAGGTCCAATAACACTTTTCTGTAGGAGGCTAGTGGACCGCCTGCTTCCATTATAGTCAATCAAAAGCATGACGACAGAAGGTGTAACGTCGGCAAGTGAAGTGGGAAAGTGCTTTACAAGTTCTAAACTGGTTGAGGAGAGTCCATCAGTGTGGGTGTGGAAGAGGAAAAAAAAAAAAAACAAATACAGCGGACAGTCGTGGTAGGAGGCCACAGGACAAAGAGGTGTTTTTTTGGTCTTCACTGAGTGTCTACTTACCTTGAGGTCGCGGTGGACCACACCCATCTGGTGGCAGTGGAGCACAGCTTCTAGGATCTGCTGAATGCAATGACTGCATGCAAACACCAGGGGGCCATGGGTTAGTGACAAGCTACCACTCACTATCTGTGGCTGTGAGCTCGCTTTGACACTCGGAGAGTTGCTGGCCGTGTTGTTGGGGAGAGAGAGCGTGGTAATGTGGCGGCTAACGGGCCCAGAGGCTATAATTAGGGGTAGTTTGGTAAAATGGGCCATTTACTCAATGGCATTCTTTTGGTTTGTTGCAACAGTCACACACTGTTTTCTGTGAAGGATCCAGGGAGGAGGGAAAAAAAAAAATGGAGACGTAATTTCGTCATCGTCCTCGCCTCACACACACGGCCAATTCTCTGCCCGAGTCCCAAAACAGAAGTGGTGTTAGATCCTGGCCGACTGGAGGCAGGACCCTGGGAGGAGGGAGGCACGGGAGCTGAAGGAAGGTGTGGTTTGAAATCTGTCACTGGTTCATGTGTATGTGTTGTTCACGCCTGCCAAAAGTGTGCTGTGTTGTAGCAAACTGGAATTTATTAAAGCTGCACTTTCTGTAAAATTGATGTCCTAAAAGACTCCTTCAGACACCTCTTCAACTTCACTGAACATGATTGTTTTTAGGTCAAAGTTGCAATTACATGATGGGAAATGTATTGACATGCTGTAACAAAAAGCAAAGGTTTAGTAATTTGGATATTAAAACAAATGAAGTTGGCCAATTTCATCAGCATTAGCTAGTTTATATTGATTCCATCAGCCAAAAACTACTAAATAAGACTTGAAGTAGTCGGGTAGATAAGTTCGGGGATTCAAGGTTTTTTATTTTATTTTTACAATTCTCTACATTTCCGAACAAAACTGGAGACATCAGATCCATGAATGACACAAATGGATGTATATATTAAACTTAAAGTGTTAAATAAACCAAACATGTTTGTACTTTAGAGTCAAATTTTTGGAATTTTTCTTTTAGTGTTGCTCTTTGTTTAGTTCAGTGGTTCTTGTCAGAATACCATGAATGTGGTCAATACCAACTGCAGCTAATAAAATATGAAACAAGCTGTTTTTTAAAACTTCTTTATTTAATGTGATCGGTGTTATTTCATCGCTCTGATGTCTTTAGTATTGTTTCACTATGAAAAAAGGAAAATGATCAGATATTGGCTGTGAAGTATCATGGAGGATGTTCGTTTTCCTGACTCAATAATTTGCGAACAGAAATTAATGGAACAAATAGATATATATATATAGGTATATAGTTTGCTTTAGGAAAAGTAATTTTCTAATCTCTTGTTTTAATTAGTGTTTTTCAATTTGTGCATAGATTTAAAAAAGAAAAAAAAATGGAATAGCAAAGAAAGTTTTTATACCTGTCTGAGGTGGAACAGTCAATGTGAGTGAATAAATATAAAGTGATAATGAAACTTAAGGGGAGAGCTGTGTGGGCGGTAAGGGGACTGTAACCTTCCTCATAATAATACTTCATAGAAAAAAATAAAACCTCTGTGTGATATTTCTGACTGATGGTATTAATTAAGCCATCTCACTGCAGTCTCTTCTTTTTTTTAACAGTTTAACGGCATCAGACTGAAAAACTGGCACTAAAGGTTATTTATGCCAATGTATTAACCAACCAATCACAGTAGCGGATGGAGGTGCTTGTTAGTTTTCTTTTGCCAAATTTGGGGAAATACAATCACAATATGTGTTATTTTTCGATAGAGGCCTGGGTAATATTTTTAAGAAAAATGCTCCTCACAGTTTCTGCTGCTACATTAACTTGAAATAGTGTTAGTCGCAGAATGATAGAGTCTGGACTCAATATTCTATGAATTTGAATATTTAATATGTTGTTAAATTGTGCCACAAATGAAGTCTTGAGAGCCGTACTAATCTATGCACGCTTTTTTCTCCCCACTCCTGATGTACGTTTGTGACTATGTCTGATCTGAACATTTCTTTTGAACTATATTTATGGTAAACAAACAATTAAAAATAATCTCTCAAATAGCTGCAGAGTAGATAGAGTTGCATGAATTGTGTAAAAAGAATTTGATCAACTACAAACATGTTATTATCATGTTTTAATGAAGGATCCAAAACCATTTCATATATTATGTTGATGTAATGGTGCCAAGTGTTCATACGCTCTCACAGATCGAGAACCACAGGACGTCCTTCCTCCTCTGCCCCCTCCTCCTCCCCCAGGTCTCGGCCTCTCAGTGGCGGTGTCAGAGCATGGTTTTCGACAGATGCTACATGCACTTTGTGCCCTGGCATACAGGAGAGGCAGGCCATGATGAGATCTACCAGCCTCCTCCTGGGCACTACGCGGCCTACCGCCTCCTCTCCAGCCAACCTCCCCACGTGCTTTGCAGCAGGTTTATTTTACCTGCCAGGCAGCCATGTGCAAGGGTGACTGGTGGAGGAGGGGGTGTGGTTTTAGAGGAGGCGGCACTCGGTGAAAGGTTAATTAGTCGACTGATCAGGCAGTGGAGGAGCGAGGCAAGGTGCCGTAGGTGGGCAGGCCTGTGTTTTTTTTACTGTTACTGTCGTCACTTACTAACCTTTAGGTCCCTGTGCACTATGCCATTTATGTGGCAATGATTTACACTTTCTAGAATCTGCTGTATGCAGTGACTGTGGAGGAGAGAGAGACCAGGCCAGAAGCAAAAAGGAGAGGAAGAGGGAGAACAGGTAAATGTCAGGAAACAAAAGGAACAAGAACAGGCAGACAGAACACACCAAACACATGAAATAACACTTGATTGACAAAAGGAGAATTCTTGAAGGAATAGGTCAGCCTTCTGAGAAATACAATCATTTGCTTTCTTTTCTAGTGTGAGATGATATCAGCCTCATGTCTCCATGCAAAACAGGAGTCGGGAAGCGGTTTGTTTAGCTTAGCATAATGACTGGAAGGGAGACAGCTAGCCTGGCTCTGCCCAAAGTTCAAAAGTACACCTACCTCTAAAATCTTCTCAACTTGTGAGTTGCATTGTGGAACTAAATCTTTTGCATAATTTGTGGAGTGTCTCCGTCTAAAGCACAATACGGCAGGTGAAGCCAGTGAATGCAGGTTTTGGAGACACACTGGAACCAAACTCAGATACCTAACCGTGATGATGAAACGCCATAAAGCTGCACAGTCGCCATACCAAGCTGTTGTACCAAAATTATAAGAATTTCCAAAATTCTATTCTGTCTAACAAGCGCATTACAACATGACTTTTAGGGGTGTTTGTGGATATATTTTTTGACCCTTTGGACAGATCCAGGCTAGCGGTTTTCTCCTGCTTCCAGTCTTTACGCTAAGCCAAACTACTTAACACACATGAGATCAATGCCGATCTTCTCCTGTCAATCTTGGAAAGAAAGCCAACTGCTGAACTGTTCCTTCAGGCTAATTACCAAGTAGAGAATAATACAAAAGGACACATGCATGTTCTTTTCATGTAAAACTTATTTTCATATGTCACCTTTAAAACCATTTTTACAAATCAACAAAATCCACAACAAAACAGAATCCAGACCCTTGTCATCTAATCTCATTGTTGGCATTAATAAACTTCAGAGCAAAAACAACTTTTGATGACAAAGTCGAACTTTAATCTGACTGAATGGGGGAGAAGTTATTAAAAAAAAAACCTGACTGTTAAAACAAGTTCTACTGAGAAAGCTTTAGAATCAAGCTGCTTCACATTATAAAACTGGACAGACAGGGTTCTTTTTTGAGTGGATTTTTTAATGAATAAGACTGAAGCTGAAATTGAGAAAAGTGGGTCCATAATCAAAGGCAAAACAAGAAAGGTACAAAGAGAGGTTTTGGGCATAAAAGGCACATAAAAGGCGGAGCAATAGGAAACATTTGTTCTGCTCTGCTGTATCCACTGCATAAGGATTACCTGTAGTGTATATGTGGAGGTGCCGACATTAACATTCACACTGACAGGCTGGTGATTTCATGATTTAAGTATTTGCAGTGGGCTTGAATGTGCCTTTAGTGCCAAAGGAGACTAACTCACACCACATTTATACAGTATATTCAGAAAAAAATCACATCGTATCGTATAAGCACCCTGACAGAAATGACACTGACCTGGCATCAGCTTCACTGTAGTACTCCCTGGCAACAATGTCCTCAAACAGCTCACCACCGGTAACTCTGCAGAGGGAAGATGAAGTGACAGTCAAAAAGCCAGTGAGGGTGAAAGAAGTGGAAAGAAAATCTGGAGGTGAACTGTATAATCTGATGTTCATTCCTGTGTCTGGGGGGAAAGCTTGATAATTGTGCACAATCTCATCGAGAAAAAGCTTTTCAGAACAACTGGGACCAAAAAAAAGATGTTTTGCTTTTGCACCTAAATGCTGAAATGACTACAATTATATATTTCAGCGCATACGATTATTCGCTACATGGATATTGTTTATTCAGCTGGAAGGAATTTCCATGTCTTTCCATGATTCAAACCCAGAGAGCTTTTCCAAGTAACACAGATGGGAATATCTATAATTGAATAGACATGCAGTAATAATAGAGCACTATGCATCATGCTGTGATTGAGCCTTTGGATCTCAGAGAGAGACAAGTTCATGTGCAGCATATATCAATCCAAGTAAAATAGCAGAACCCAAGAGGAAACTGGAGCATACAGCGTTTCCTTTTATTACATTTTATTATTAGGTGCAAAGATTTTTATATTGCTACGAAATAAAAGGGAAAGTCCACCACTTTTACACATAAGGATCAGGTTACTCATCATGAAGAGTGCTTCTCAACGTGGGCTGTCTAATGTCTTCTGGCAGAAAATAACTACGCCACAGTTCTTATTGGGGCAGTGTATAAAAGAAGTCCTTGTTCCAAACTAGTAGCGTGGACATTTAGCAGACAGGAAGGGTGTAATGAACAAACACTGTCAAGCTGTTTAATGTAATTACACTGTAATTACACCACGACCCCTCCTATACCAATGTTGGAAATGCATCACTAGAATGTCTTTACAACTTGCATAAAACTGAAAACAGTAACCCAAACTCGTACGTCGAATAAGAACAGGAAAAGCAGCAAACACGCCATGACATGCCAGCTTTCCACCGCTTGACATATATGTTCACCCACAACTTGCAGTAATGGTACAGTGGAAAGTTACATCATGCAATCCCATGTCTGAGGTGTACCTTCGTGGGAAATGTAGCCATTTAGTCTGCCTTGTTGTTGTCAGTTAGGTCTGCATCGTTGCATCCTGTTGTGTGCCATCCTTCTAAATATAGCCATAGCAGTGTAATTACCAGTTGTTCCCATCAACACCGGGAAAGGTGAATTCTTGTGAAAGCTGTGATACACAGTTCTTGTTAAGAGTCACTGCTGCTTTACAATATGTATTTTACGATTACGTACATTGTAAAACACAGAAGACATTAAAGCTACAACACAAATGGACTTACATAGCGAGAATAAAGATTCAGCCTCCATCTTCATGTCTGTAAGTAATGATGGACGGTTTTTCTCTTGACTTTGTCGAGCGGTTCTTGATGTAATATAGATTAAAGTAGTAGCTGAATAAACGCAGTAGACGCTATCTGGACACAACACAGCTCATGGTTAGGAAGAAATTCCACCAACCGACTTTTGACGAGGCTCACCTGTTAACTGCAAACAATTCCAGGCAACGACCTCATAAAATTGTGTTTGACTTGGCACTAACAACAATAAAAGTGCTGATAAAGGCAAGTAAACAATGATGTTTCACGCCAGCCAAAGTGCATTGTTAAATGTAATTAAACACTAAAACAATACACTGCCATACTGAACACCACTGTCATTGTAACACCTGAATGTCTAAGTATGCACTTTAATACACTTTGTTCAAATTAGACACCTGTATAAAAATCATGAACAGTGTTTTTAGCAATCTGCTTTCTACATGGTCTGTTGAGGAAATGACGCTAAAATATTCGTCTTTCTGTTTAGTTTTATTTCAATTGATGAAGACAGCGAGAATCTCTTGCAGAAGAAGCAGCAAAAGAAGTATTTATTTCCACTTGACAAGAATGCAGAATTATTTAATGTAACATTTGACTGTTTTTATAAAACATATCTACCTTCCTCTACACATTAAGCCTCTGTTCCGAGGCTTCATTTTAGCGTAGTTACGAATATCAATGTGATTTTTGAATTGAGGTTTGGATGAGGCTTTTTTTCTATGTTGAACAGAACCTCTCGCTTTCTACAGGTTGGTGTAGTTTTCGCCAAACCAGGTCCTGGACGTGATTTTGTCGTGTGTTTTCTTATAAGTTGGAGGTCTTTGAAGAACAGGAAGGAAAGAAAACTTACAGATGATTTTATGCAACTGTTTTCACAGGCGGACTAGCATTAACTGTGGCTTCTAAGCTAATATCCATGTGTGAAATTAGTTTAGTTGCTCTTTAAAGTGTTGAGTGAATTTTAAAGTGGGCCAGTGGGACAGTCCCTGCAAAACATGGTGAATTATTTGCAGGATATTGAAAGGCGAAACCTTTTTCCATGGCCTGTGGAAAACATTACAGCCACAAGCCTCTGGAGGTTTCCTTATTTAAGTTTCATTTAACTTCATGCGGCTCTGGTGTTGAGACGTATTCAGTTGTAAAAAAAGAGGTCTGCCGGTTTACAGTGTTATTGTTGGCGCGCTTCAGACAGCTAGGAAGTGACCCGTACATCGAGTGTATCACGACCCAGCTTGTTCTTCTAATCTCCTGCATTTCACTTCACTCAAAAAAATATGAAATTAAAATCAAGTGCATGGTTTATTTACTCCAACCAGCCTTGTTATGTCGAGTCATCCTTCCTTCCAGGCAGGTTTTCCATTAAGGGAAAATGCTTTACGCCAAGCAAGGAACACCCTCTGTTCTTTTTTTTATTGCTCTTAGTCAAATTAAACGCAGTGTTTAAAATAAATTCGACGCCATTTCCTTTCTGGATGCCAGGTTGGACTGCAAACAGCAGCTGACAATACACAGGAGAGAAGAGGAATGAGGGAGACGGTGAGTTATGGAGGGTGAAGGGGAGGAGGGAGAGCGGCAGAGATTGAAAGGAAGGAAGGAAGATTAAATGGAGCGAGTGGGAAAGCCCTGGATGTTAGGCGTACAATAAAGGGACATTTCCACATTTCGAGCTCTAGGGTTTCCCGGACATTTCTTTGCATGATTACAAAAAAAAAGCCTTATTCATCTTGTAATGGTCTTTTTAGTAGCATCTCAAGGCTTTTTAGCTCTTCTGGAAACTGTCCTGCTACAGAGAGTATGACAACAATAGCAGTTACTACTTTTCCTTTACTTGAAATGTCAAGTTCTTCAGTGCGTCCACACATGTTCAAGGCTGAATCTGATCTCAAGTAATGCTAAGAACCCACTGAACAACCTTGACAACAAAGGCGTGCACAAAACGGTACTTTAAACTATATCCTCTCACAGGCTTCATGTTCCAGGAAACGAGGCAGACAGTCCATTTTACGCTTCATGAGAACAGATGACAATTCGAGAGGAAACGAAGCATCCAGCTCATGTTGACTAACAAGCTTGAAATTTGCTATTGTATGTCAGCTGGGAAGTATTCATTTCCCCTGGTTAATAGAGTGTTTCAACATCCCATTTGAAAAAAACCCAAAACTGAATCAGACTGAAATGATCGCATTACTGTAGAAGTAATCCATCAGTCTGGCTCTAATTTTTCAGATTTATTTCATTTCTACTTGCATCGGTCAGGAACCGTGACTTGCCTCCTAGTAAAACAAGCATCTGTTGTTTTCACACTTTGCTAAATCAGCTTAATCTCTACAAAACAAACAAGAAAAGAAACAGAGTGCTATATGTCTTCTCATCTAACCCTTGACAACAAAGTGTAAAGGCGTCGATGTAAAAACTGGTCCTTTAAGTAATCCTGCAATCCAACATTTGGATCCTTGTGATCTTTGGTATTGTACAGTTGACTTTAACTTGCATACAAGCAATACATAGGCAGTGTTTTGTTAGCAGTGGTGTTACAGAGTAAACACGATATCATTTAGCGTCATGTTGTTGACACTGACATAAGATTTTAAGCTCTTTCAAAGCCTTGATTTGCAAGCTGCCTTACAAACTGACTTTAGCAGTGCAACTTATCCTGTACGGATCTCTGTTCGACTTCTTATTTAGCAAGACATTTCGCAACATTTTCATAATAAAGTACATAAAGTAGTTTGAATAGTTTGGCTGCCAAAAAATGACATCAGAAATTTGGTAATTAGAAAAATGGCAATGAAATCCCACAATTCCTGATGTCAAATTCAACACACACATAAAAAAAAAAAATCAATCAACTGTATATATTTCAGCATAAGAATGTATTTTTAAAAATACTGCAGAACAATGTGTGCTAATACACCTTTACAATGTTCTATCTGACAAATACAAAGGTAGAGATAAAGATAATGTTTTCCTTTGTAACCATTGTGTGTGTGTGAAGCATTGATATACAAACTTAGATATCGAGTTTGCAATATAATGTGGGTTTGCAGACGTCATATTTGGGAGCTCAAGTAAATGGATACAGTATGCAATGAGAGATGCAGATTTCTTGACAAATTAACTGTAATTTTCATGACATTTGATTTGTTTTAAACGTGAAAAACTGAATATGATGCTGGTTACTGGATCTAATCAGCTGTATCTCAAAAAACTTTTTGAGCTACTTTTGAGAAATGAGTGATGACACTAGTGAGCACTATTTGGATCCAGAATGCTGTGGCCGAAGAGGGGAACATTTCCAACCTCCATTTACATCCCAAGTGTAATAACAAGTAGCTATTGAAAAAGTGAAGCCTTCATCCAAGAGTAGCACCGACTCTTCATCCACAGCCGTCAAACCCACGATGGCCTGCATTACCCAACTGTAGCAGGAGCTTTTACCAAAACAACAAAAGACCAAAAGGACAGCCAAAAACAGAAAATGTGCACACAGACAGGTCGAGCCTAATAAAAGGTGCTACATGAATTAGGACCAACTCTAGTCACAATTATTATGACATATTGTTTATGTATACAAACTTACATTGATGTAGAAGAGCTGGATGCAATGTCACCCAAGCTTTACAACATTGTCTATACTGGATATTGTATTTTTATATTTCCAAATAAATCTGCTCTAAGTGGCAAAATTATTACAATTTAATAACAAACAATGCTTGAAGCGTGTGACTGCAAACTGAGTATGAGATAACAGCAGCCGAAGATATGAAATATCGATTAAATATCTGGCGGTGATAACATTAAGCCTCGATGACACCCACTTTAGCTATAAATTAGTCATTTATTCAGCATGATATTTTGTGATAGCATGCTGGAGTTCTTACAAACAGGCTGCTCGGTGAAACAGAGGCAGCAGATGGCTTTTGATCAGATACAGATGAATGAAGTTATCTGCGTGCCACCTGTGTTAGCCAACATTACTATTCATTTACAGAGCTCCACGGTGTGACTATGATCCTGCACGACACACTCCATCCTGCTTGTATTTCATCTCGGTGTGTGTGTGTATGAATGATGCAGTCTGACGTATTTATGTGATGCTTCTGACTGGTGTGCGATGACGCCTCGGTGACAGGACATCTAATTAGGAGCTGTCAGGTTTCCAGCTCTCCTGAGTGTGAATCCCAGTGTGCTCTGCTCATGTTTAACCATGTGGATTTTACAGCGTGCGTCTGGAAGGTGCGCTAATGTGGCGTGCAAAAGTAAATAAATAAACTCACAAGTCAAAGACCAGATAGTGGAATCCTTCCTCTGATATGCTGTCATGGAGGCGCACTGTGAAGGAGGAGAAAAGAGAAATCAGTTTTGTCAAACACGTCTCCCATCCGTCAGGCCACCTGCCATCCTGGCAGCAGTAGGTAACGAATTATCAACACTTCATTTACTCGCAAATTGGAGCGCGGAACACCAGTGAACTGTTGTCCTCTCTCAGTGTGACATGGGGTTAAAAGTTTAAGGTGTCACCGTGGGTGGATTTAGTTTTCTCTAGCCAAAGTGTTTCAAACATATTTTTAGATCCGGTTTGATGCAGAGCAACTTACAGTAAATAATTAAAAGGAAAACAGATGTAACGTTATGAAACCTCTAGCAGCGTACTGTCATGTCAGCATCATGTCATATCTAATGTATTCAGGCAGAAATGGTGCATTTTGGTTTTATTGTTGGAGTTACAGGCAGTAAACAACATCCAGGTGTGCACTGGGGATGTCAGAAGATATGATCCTTCAGTACTAAGTGGATGGCAAATTCTGAAAATGTGTTTTTTTTAATGGTCCTTTAGGGAGTGGGGATGTTGCAGATACCCGAATACAACGACAACATGAGGCAAGGCAGCACTGCAGAGCATTACAAACAAAAGCAGGGAACACCTGTCTAAGCAGCTCAAAGACAGGCTTCTGGATTTGTACAATTTAACAAGTTTCAGTTGTTTACTCTGTATTGAGAGTGAAAGTGACATCTTGATGTCAGAACAGTATGACTTTTGAAGATTTATGCAAATATTTTTAGACTTAAGTTAACTTCATTTTAACTTTCAGATTAACTCATGAATGTAAATTAACTGTCATTTATTGGTTTCTGCAGAACTTTTTCAAGCATTTATTATGACAAACTCCTGAACAGGAAGTCAGAGTTCTTAAAAATTGGATGCTAGTCTAGCTGGACATTCTATCGTTATGTGGTCTAGTGGCTTTTTTCATATTCAGATACGACAATAAATTATTAAAAATATTCACTTTTCATTTTGGATCCAGCTGTGGACACACAATGCTGAAATATTTAAAATGTGCCTGTATTTAATAACATAGTCACACTAACAAGCCAGTAAATAAAATATTCTGAATGCGTTTATTCATTTGGAATGTAAAAGTGCAACATATCTCTGCTTTACCAATTTGCACAGGCCAGACTTAAGTTGTCCCCAACCAATCGTACATGATCGTATCTGATAACAGAAAGGATGAAGATTATTACAGCTTTCATAAGCAACATCTCGACTCAAACCCAGTGTCTGTCATTGCAGTTTGTAAAATATTACAACCCATACAGACATCCAGTCAGAGTCATAAAGGACGCCCTGATGTCAACATCATGGAGTCTTTCTAGGATCACATTAAGACACAGAAGACACCGAGAAAGACTAAACCAGAGGAAGTGTAGCAAGTTCTACGGCTTTAAAGGCCAAAGTTTGGTTTTTCTTTTCAGTTTGCTTTGTATGACGTTAAATGATAAATTATAACTATCCATGCACTATTTTTAAAGGCATCCTCGAGTCATGCTTGAGAACTAAAATATAACTGTATCATATAATGACACATTGATTTTAAATGTAATGCCGTGACCCACAGTTTTCCTGTGAGGTAATCAGCAGTGTTTTTGTATGAGACAGTGTGTGTAGCACCGATTACAAAGCACATATTTTTTTACCGATGTCTGATAAGATCCAGTGAAGTGTTACTACAATCCCTGTGGCAGTTACACACACACTAAAACACACTATTATAGGCAAACTCAACAGCATGCCTCTGCATTTGAATTGGCAAGCAGATGGTGCGCTCTGTAAATCACTCCTGCTGCTCTATTTTTAGCGCTCAGGTCTTCTGAATGAGCGTGGATGTCAGGGAATACGGCCGTCTCTTTCACTTCGTTGAACAAGGGCATGATGAAGGCAGCACAGTCCTAAGGACTCTGGCAGTGGTGAGGTTTAACTGTGCCAATTAGCGTCGCTGCAAAACGGACATGAAAAGACGTGGTGTGAAGTAACAAAGAGGGCCAAAGTGAGACGAACACGATGCCTCTGACGGAGACTGGAGAACCCACTGTACCGTGAGCTCATGGAGTTACGGAGGGTTTCTGGCAGCAAGACTGCCTGTTCCGACCTCTGGCTCACTTTGTGAAATGATGATGTCATTCTGAGCCATGCCGCTTTGGCAATACAGAAATGTATACCCAACTTATTAATGACAGAAATGGATAGAAAACCTACACTGAAACCTATGGGAAAGGGGGCGAAAGAGCAAGTTACTAGAACAGAAATAAGGCGTTTCAGATCATCAACATCTGCTGCAGGTTGTGAACATTACTTTTGCTAATCTTTGGGCTATTGTTAAATTATTTATTTTTTAATCTGGAAATGTTGGAAGCTGCATCAAAATGGTTTCAGTAAGGGATTATAAAAAAAGCTTTGGAATTGTTAACTACATATTGGTTTCATCTTTGCTGTCAAAACCTCCAGTCAGACTAGTATTTATGCTTAATTACCTTTTGGAGCGTTCATAATGTCGCTTTAACAGGTTTAGTGAGAGTCGTTGAAGAATTGATTCAGATTCCGTAACATAATGACTGATTTGGCTTCTTATCAGGTCAGCGCTGAATACAGCATGTGCTCGTTTCAGTATTTCCCTTGAATAAAAATGGACTCTGTAGGTAGGAGACTGATTGTACCGTGAATGTGTGTGACTGAGAAATAATGTGCTTGTGGAAAAAGCTCTTTCCGATTTCAGTGCTCAAGAAAGGTTAGGCAGACAGATCAGAGAGAGTTGGTAGGATGAAGAGATTTTTTAAAAAAGATTTCCCTGTGGGGATTCTCTGGCATCTCCGTTAGCTCATCTCCTGACTGACATCTGAGTGATGTATCGCCTAGACGACCGTAAAGGAACGAGGGCTTTCCCACAGCTGGATGCTGTGTGAACGGAATAGTAATGAGACCGGGGCTACCTGCTTCTAGACTAGTCGCTATCTGACGACAGACAGATCGGTCTCTAAGGGAGGGTGAATGTGTGAGCAGGTGAATAATGAGACTAACCAGAGACGAACTGCTGCCATCATTAATGTCACTACTTGCTTTTCTCAGGCACATACATCCTACTTCATATACTTGCTTGTGGATTTTCTATGCACCTGGAGGATTAAAATGTGGCGGTATAGCAGAACATCCTTGGCCAGAAACAGAATGTCCTATTTGTGAACTTTCTCTGTTGCACACCAAAATCAGATACTGTGGTGATGCTCACGGAGGTCACATTATTGTATCAGGCTATGTATTGACCGATATTTCTTTTTCAGGGGTTTGATATCGACAGCAATCATTAGCTATCATCATGTTTCGAACTGATTTGAGGTCAACTCTAGAATAGCCCAAATTTCATTCAGGATTAGTACCAGCCTCGCAGTCCGCCATGTTTTTTTTTTACTTTTTAGAGCTGCCTGCGCTAAATCTAAAATATCTTGAGCAAAGCACAGCAAATGTTCTGCCGTGGGCTGCAAGAGTGAGCACAAGAGTCTTCCTGCACTCCCAGCAACTGAGAAACTAAACACAATGTTAATGACTTTAATTATTGATGGCAATGTCACCACAACAATAGGAAAATCCTTAGTGCATTGCGCGGCTAATGTGGCCAACATGACCATCAGCTTTCCTACACGCCAGAGCTCTGTGGAAATTGTGAAGCTGAGGGACAATCAGAGAGAGTGGAAACTTTAAAAGCAATGTGAAACCAATAAAGTAGGACTGTGCGTGGGTCAATGTGTTTTCATGTCGTCTGCTGCGCTTCAGTGCAACCTAAACTCAACTCTGTCACGTTAGAGCTATTTTCAAGCTGCTGCTCTGCATCACTAAATTACTGATTTTATAACGGCAACATAGTCTAACAAACTCAACACACATGAGCTAAAGACAACAACTACGCAAGGAATTCTATACTTCCCTATTCTGTGGCATGTTAATTTGCTGAAAAGGGACACAATTTAGGACCTTTAAAGATTAGTTGCAGAAAAAGTTTCTTATGAGGTAATAACAGAAAAAATCTTATGTGTTGAAAAAAAATGTGTTTACAGCCTGACTGATACACCTGCAGGCTGACATTTAGTCCGTAAAGTTAAAACTAATTTACTTGTACTGGGGGGAAAGCAGGGCAGGCAGCTGTAGCTTTTACTAGAATTTTATCCTGTACGTGTGACTTGTTGTTTTTTGGGTTTTCTTCCCCCTAGTTTTAATTATTTTCATTTCAGTCAATATCGTATGGTGCATCTAACCTTGCTGTAATCTACCAGGTTTATTGTGAGGTCATGCATTCATTTGTTGCTTTTATAAATCAGTATCAGACTGAAAATCTTCTATCACTTGGAGTCTAAATGGTTCTGTCTTCATACTAAACCACTCAACCCCACGTGAAATAGAATAAATGTCTATTTAAAGACTTCTTATGTTGGCTGTTAATTAACCACCAATTAAAGCCGTCGCTGCGATGAAATTACCACGTTGCTCCTAAAGGCCTCGGTTCATGTTCTGGGAACAGACATGGAAACCCAAACCTCTGTCAGATAACACTCTCTGAACTGAACCCTCCTATTTCATGTGTTGAATAGTCAGTTCCAGACACCCTGACATTAACCCAGCAAACCAAATAACCGGCTTTCATCCAATCATTTGTCGCTGCCCTCCACCCCCATCTCCCACTGCGCCTCTCACGTTCCCGACAACAAAGAATCCAAAGGACCAAGGGACCAAATAACGAGTAACTGCCAGTTTTCAGTGCGTGGTGAAGTCATTATTGAGGTGGTAATTACAGTTGTTTGGCCTCTGTGGCTCCTGAGGCAAAGAGGGATGTGTGCATGGTGTGTTTGCATTATGGTGGTGGTGATGAGCTTTATTTGCTGACACAGCCATCGCACGTACAACAATATAGGATATCTTACCTCTCTTAACCACAATTATATGGCTTAAGGCACAACTTATTTGTTCGCATTTGCAGTTAGGAGTCTCTGTGCTCTCTAGCAAGTGTGTATCAGTTCAGCTGTGAGAACTTAAGTCTATTGATGTGCTCACATTATGGAGATTCATCTCCCATTTGGAGATAAGATGCTGGACCTGGGAGAGGATGCCAGTAAATATTAGAGAAAGGCATATAACTGTACCGGACACGGTTAAGGTATATTTCATTTCGACAAGTTGGCTATAAAGTTGTGTTTTTGCAGTTTTTCCTCATTCAAACTGAAGCTGCGAGTACAGTTGGATGATCTAATATCTTCCAAAATTCCCTTCTCCCACACATTTTCCTCGTCTGAACAGCGGGACTAAAGATAGCAGGTGTCGTGTTCATATCCTAAGCTCTTAAAAAGGCAAATTTGTCGTGTTCTTTGGAATACATAAATAAAATTGGCTTGATGTAACATTGTGATTTCCTTTAAAGTGACAGTACAAGTTAGCAGAATGTGGCCAATAACTCATGGTTCTAAATATGGTTGTTGATCAAACGGCCAAAATGCACAACAAGAAATGGCTGTAGAGTAAAGAATATACTCTGTCAAAGGCACTTTAGAAGACAATGTGAATCCAGTGTGCAGTATAAATATTTTAAAAATATGTTCCATACATCTACAAATCCCTCGTCAGATTAACCTTTGTATGTTTTGAAACACATATATTAGACATAACTCTTGAGAGGAAGGACAGAAAGAGATACTAGAATGGGATCACTAGTTACCAATGTTGGGATGCTTTAGCAGGCGGCAGATCCTGGCCTCTCGCTCCAACTTCTGGTGATCTGGAGGAAAAAAAAAAGAAAAGAACAGCACATCTGTTACATCTGTCTGCTGAGCACTCCTGAAATTCTTCAGACCTCTCCACAGAGTTTCCACCAATTAAACACCGCCAACGTCTCCCTCCTGCTGGGAACAGATGAGCAGTAAAGCTAACAGTCGTAAGTCATTGCTGTGAGCTGCGGTCAGGAGATGAATTCGAGGAATACTCTGTGACATCTCCAGTATGAGTACAGAGTAGGTGTTAGCTGGTCAAACCTGGATGGTAAGGTGGTAATGTAAGCTCTATTCAAGATTCTCTTTTGTATAGATTCACTTTTACTACACTGAAAAGGAAAAAAAATGGCATCATGTCTGATTGAGTGGCCGCTCACTTGCCAGGTCATACAAAGTCAGAAGCACTTTGTACTCTATTAACCTCTTGAACCCCAAAAACTTCACACTGGTTTGAAAGTCATTTTATTTTTTCAAATTTAGCAAAAACTACACCGTTTATCAGACATCGAAAACAGGTAGAAATGTTGATTTTTCAGCTTAACAATGCTCTCTGAAATCATTGTGTCTGACGAAATTTAAACTCTAAATTGTGATATTTCATTAAAATCAGTTTGTGAAACATGTTTCAACACCACAAATAAACTACCTGCAGTAACCAGATTCTGTAAAGAAAATAAAAAGTCTGCACTCTTCTGCATAGCCAAGAAGCCATTAGTGACTCAGCTATGAGCAACAGACGAATTACAAAATTTAGGAACTTTTCAGCCAAACTTTGCTGAACTTCAGGCTGACACAGAGCTGATAGGAGACTAATTCAAATTGAAAGTAAAACATAATCCATAGTATATAGAGCCACAGTTTCTCTCTAGTGTTGGTAACACCCATTGGCACTTGTAAATATGTTATACATGATTTTAATTATATATATATCATCAGTTTTCAAAGACATTCAACTTTTTCTTCTTTCCTGATTTATTGCATTATACCTCTGTTAGTCATTGCTGTGCTGTGTCTATAGAGTGCAGGACTTCATATAGTTGAGAAAAATGAGTCCACAGTGAGGATAGCAAAAAGTTTCCAGAAACTGCTTGTGGTTCAGAGATACAGTGACAAAGAGGAACAGTGATAGAGAGTCCTGGACCCTCAACAAGCTAATTTGCATAGATGACTAAAAAAGACTCCAAAATAAATGGCTGCCAAAAGTGACTGATCATTGCCAGTTGATTGCTGTAGTAGATTTGAATGCACGTGTAATGTATCATCTGGCAGAACCAGATGTAAAAACGAAAGAAACATATGACACTGAGAGCTAAATCAACTAAAGCTGCAAAGAGTATTACAGCAAATGACAGATGGTGTTGCTGTGGGCACCACAAAACCAAAACACAATCTGCAAGAGCAGCCACACTCATATCAATATTCATTTTCACACAATCTTTACCAAAATACTTTTCTCCCTGCTGGCACTTTGTCGCTAGGGTTGGGTTGATGGATGATTGCATTTCATACATTAGACAGAAGTCTTCACGTGCAAACATGAGAGGGTGTACTGAAAAGATGCAGTGTAATATTTAAAGATCATTCAGGTGCAGAGTGAACTGGAAATGCAGCAGAAAAAGAAGCAGAAGAAGAAGAAGGGAGGTGTTCTAGCTACGTCCAACTAGGACGAACCCTTGGGTAGAACTAGAGGAGGGATCGCATATCTTATCTGGGAAGGGAATGCCTTGTGATTCCCCAGGAGGAACTGGACAATGTTGCCGGGTAGAAGGACATCTGAAATGCCCTCCTTACCCTGGTGCCACTGCATATTTTATATACTTAAATATAGATTATTTACAATGTTGCTAAAGAACTCTTCAATAAACAAAGTAAAACAGAGGATTGGCAGCGACACCACTTAGTATTTTATCCCCATTTGTTTAAGCCTTTACCAACAGCAAGCAGAGGTTATACAATATAACAACAAATAGACAGACTTCCTTTCTCATTTAATGCAACCGTCCCCTGAGTTGCTGTACCGCAGACAGACATTTATCACCTATGCGTCTGAGAGCAGCCCCTGAGGGCAGAGAGTAATCATGTCTCACATTAACTACTTTACATTTATATACACTAAACCTTTCAGGTCATTTAACCCTGGTTCTGTATATGACTCACTGTGGATAGGTCTTAATAATCCCAAACGGGGAGTATGTGAAGTGCATAAATGTTGCTCTCCACTTATGGGAATTTGCTCTTCAGAGAAGTACACTCATAACGTTGAAGAGCTTCCATCACAGCTTCGATCTACTGCCAACACTAAATTAGACTTTTTTTTTTCCCGTGACCACAGAGATTAGATTGTGATTCATGGTGAAGGAGTATCGTCACTGCTTTTATTAAACAATCTAGCTAAACAATTTATTAATCATTTCTTTACAATTATTTCTTAAGATGACGGGGTTTTAGAAATACTTTATTGCAGGGACTTCCCACTTCTCTGCCATAGCACAGGCAGTAATGCAGCTCAATATAATATCAGCAAGGACGACAGTATTTCCCTGTGTGCCCTCCAATAAAAATCAAATCAAAATGTTCTCACTGGCTGTAAAACTTTGGTATTAAAACTGCATTATCGGCATATGACAACCCAAAACATCAACGCTGACATCTTCCATGGAAAATGCTGATGTAGTATTTACAAATGAAATACAAAATTCATTTATACTACACTACAGCAATAAAAACACCAAAATCAGGACACAATGAAATACTAAACTGCGAGCGGCTCCGACGTTTTCGAGGAGCCACTGGGGTCGTCTCTAATTCAGCTCATTTGCTATTCAAATGAAGAGGCTTTGAGGATGTTGAATTAATGGAGACCAAGTTTCCCAAAAGACTACTGAGTATTTAATAAACAGCTCTTGTTAAAGTATGTTTTATTCATCATTGTGGGTCATAAGTGGGCTTGACACCGCCGTATTAAAGGAGTTGGATACCTGTGTAGGTTGAGGTGAGGTGTGAGGTGGAGGACATGTGCAGAACGACACCATAGTTTTGTGGTTACGAATCAGAATATTGTTTTTACTTTTCGTACCAGTGTAATGTTTAGCTCTCATTGGACGTGAAAGTTTTTAAACTAAGTAATACTTCTTGCTGAAAACTGGTTGGAAAACATCAAATATCAGATATTTTCCAACACAGATCCAAATTGAAATAAATGTAATACTTCAGTTTAGAACCAAATGTCTGCCAAACCAATGCTACAATCTTTTGGAATATTTCTATGTCAAATGATCACTCAGGGAGAAAGTTAGAAGTCTTGGTCTCACACATTCAATCACGTCTCTGTCAGCTGCTGTGGTCAGCTCTTTTGCTCCGTTCTGTCAATCACAGAAATAGAGAGAGTTTTCTCTGCGGCTCAGTGGTTCTCAGAGTCCCAGACATTTAGAAAGCAGGGCTAAAGGCAGGAGTTATACAGTCATGGTTGGATGAACCATCTTTTGCTGTATTTTGAAGTATAATGTAAAAGATATATTCTGGGGACATGTGAGACTTCATTGTATTTTTGTTTTTTTCGTGATATTTCTTTGCAGACATTTGCTTCTATTTAAGCTCCAATGTAGGAATGCAGTGCTTTAATGTATCAACAAGGGGGAGCTGTATAAATGATGGGTGCAGGACAGACTGGAAAAGAAAGAAGGTACAGTAGGAAAGAGGGAGAACTTCCCTGTGTGTTTATTTGTACATGTGTGGCTGGGTGGATGCTTCTGCAGCTACATATCCCTCCTCTGGGTGTATTTCCTCCAGGTATTTCCTGTTCGAAACTGTATCTGCATGTGGCTCCTGTTGCATATATCTGCGTTGTTTCTAATTATAAACTCCATCATTACGGGGAAGGCTGTAAATAGAATCACATGTTCATGCCACCCCATAGTCCCATACTCATCATAATCTGGACTCAAACTACAGACCAATCCCAACGCTGCTTTGGAAATGCAACATGTGGTTCTCCAATAAGCGGCGAGTGTAATCTCAGCCAGCGCCAATGGAACAGCCTTCTGCAACCCTTGTAATCCCATCGAGGTTCCAACCAGATGCGATCATAACGTCTCCAATCTCACCTCGCTTTACAAGTCTCTAATCCCAATCAGACCAATGGGATGTGCTTTTACAGGGCCAGTGTTCGTGGTAACCGGGTGGATGTTGACTTTTCTCCACATCACCCTCTTCCATCCGCTGCATGGCACGCTGCTAATCTTTGACATAACGGGATTTAGAGCATGAGTGATGCTCAATCACCATCTCCAGCCTCACTGCAACCGCAGGAAATGGGCCTTTTTCTTGCCCATGCTTGCTTTCATATTCCTCTTTTCCCTCCCTGTCTTCTTTCTCAGGCTTACTGTCTTATTACAGGTGATGTTTATTGCATTTAGAAGTGGCAATTATTTGGTACAAGTAACGAGGGTTGACTGTAAGTGGGTTTGTGCAGGGACGAGTACCACACTTGAATACCTTTTGTGGTGTAACCAAAAAATACCTCCATGGCATATCAGAAAAATCCTAAAAGCTGATGCTGATGTGTGAGAAAGAAAGAATTGTTTAGAATTTAGGATTTTAGTACTTATCAATTTGACAAAAGTTGACTAAAACTAGGTGCAAGGCAATCTGAGCAAATACAGTCCCTCTGTTACTATAATACAACTATGTACAGCTACGCATAAATTATTCACTCCCATGCAAAATTTTAATTTATACTGAATTTCCAGTAGACCATTAGGGGTTCTTATGGCTGGAAATGGCATAAACAAGTGACAATGATGAGCTTTATGTACTTTTGTGTTTTCTTTCACATCTTCAATAAAAATGCACTGGCAAAAAATATCCTTCTTGTTGCAAATATTGGAGAAAATACACACTTCTATGCAATTTCAAATACATTTTGTAATGCCACTATGTTCTAAAGCAATTAAATATACTAAACTGAGAACAGCTGACTCAGCAGACTTTAAAAAGCAGTTCAATTCAT